TTGATAGCGATTTATTAATACAAAACGCGTGCCCTCCGTAAAAAAACTACTTTATTTTGATTTCAGGATTTCACATGATATAAACAAGCAGTGTTTTGCAAAATAGTTCTTTATACTTCGACCGTTATACTTGAATTTAGTTAATTTTCAAATATTGAGAATTTTTTTTTATACAACTTAGAATGGCAAACAACCTGATGGCCCACCTGATGGAAAGTGGTAACAGTCGCCTATAGACATGAGCAGTACCATGGACATAATAGAGTATACTGTTTCGCCCATAATACCTTCCATGCATTGTCATTCCTGAGGACTCAGGTGTTATACCTCTGTACCCAGTAAATATATATACATGTGAAATAATATGTAATTTCATCATCATGATTATAGCATCAACCGTCAATTATCCACTGCTGAAGATAGACCTTCCCTATAAGGGGGTTTTGCCAATATTTGCCTCGCTTGGCAGGCGGGTTGGCAACCGCAGTTAGGTTTTGGTGATGAATTAAGAGAAACACTGCTGCCCATCACTAAGCTTATAATAATTAAATTCCTTTCATCACCTCGTACAACACCCACGGGAAAGAAGAGGTGGTCCATTCTATGCCTATATATATATATATATATATATATATATATATATATATATATATATATAATTTACTAACATTAAAACTTCGTACCTAGATTTAAATTGCCTCTTAACACACGGTGTCCTAGTCTATAGAGCAAATTATTGGTGCGACCATGTATTACTATTACTTATTAAAAATAAATTTTAATCATTCAATTTCCTAGCATATAATGTAACATCCGACACACTGTCTTCTATCGGGGTAGGCAGAAACAATAAAACGTGAAATGCTTCGATTCAAACAAGCCTCTTTCGCTTGCTCCACATTCATCAATCTTTTCATACACTCTCTCCGTTTACGAGTACTTTTAATTCGGCCCTTCTTCAGCACGTCGCCTATTTGAACGACACACGTCCGTGTAGGGCGGTCACTGCCGATCTTCTATCTTGTTTAATAAATCATCAGTAAACAATAATTTATTAATATATAAATCAATATTGTACAATAATATTAATTGATCGCCGTGCACAATTTTAGAATCCAAGTTGCGGCGGTCGAGGTCACTCGCCCACCGCGCCCGTGCTATTTCTGTATTAACCGTAAGGAAATTGTAATTTACTGGGCGGTAGTAAAATATCTAACACTGCCTTTATATTATTGCCGTTCGTGTGAGAAATGCCGTTCACTCAAATATTCATGTTAATAAAACAGCTGATCAATTAGCAAAGGAAGGGGCAAAGAATGGCCAAATAGGACCAGAACCTTTTTGTGGCATACCTCGAAGCCTAAAGTTCGAACATCTCAAACTTGAAAACTTAGAAGCAGCAAATAATAGCTGGTTCCTGTTGCCAGGATTAAGTCACTAGAAAGCCTTGATTAAGCGGCTTCAGAAAATTACTCTAAGAAATTAATTCTTTTGAGTATAAATAATATGTGTGTATTAAAAAGGCCTCTCACTAGACACTGCAAACTAAACAAGCACATGGCCCAACTAGGCTTTATTTGCAAATTGTTTGCAGAAAAATGTTTGCAGATTTTGTCACAATGAGTAAGAAACGCCGCAGCACTTAATTTATGGCTGTAGCCCACTCATACATATAACTCCTTTGGAAAATATACTATATTCTGAGGAGATAAGAAACATCGCTACAAAAAATATCTTAAAATTCCTATCACTGATAAAAATTAGAAGCGAACATTAAAAAAGGGCGAGCACAAAAGATCATGGAAAGATCGCAGTGTCACAGGTTTGCCTGAAAAAGCCCGTCTTTCAATAACATTAATAATATAAAACTAATCTGTAACTACATCCTTTCAGATATAAAAAATAAAGAATTTTTCAAATTACTTAATAAATGACATAAAAAATACAATCGAATTAAGAACCTCTTTTTTTAGACGTCGGTTGAAAATAGAAAGCATGTTTAGTTTCCCTTTGCGATCCTAATTTATCAAACATTCATATCTTCTTTCAGAATGTTCCAGACTTGTTTATATCAAATATTTGTTTGGGTGTGACGATGTCGTCGCACTGTCTGGCCCGGTGCATACAAGGCGGTATAACACGATAGAATACCTAAAGGGATCGATCGATAATATATATATATATATATATATATATATATATATATATATATATATATATATATATATATATATATATATATATATATATATGTTCGACATGGTCCCATCGTGCTGAATTCCAAGTGTATTCATCACGATGGACTAATTCATTCTCACCTATCATCCCTCACTGGTGTCCCGCCAGCGTATACCAATAGCACAGGTGGGGTTATCATTCCAATATCGTCCATTAAAAAAAAACTAGACATCAGTAGACTGTCATATGTTTGGACTCTTTAATCGTTTATTTATTTTGTCACGTTCTTTTAAAACACAAATGCGTACTCTGCGTCAATTTATACACTTTAAAAAGGTTCCAAATTCGACTGCATTTCTTTTTAATAAATTACGCAATATGTCAAAAGGGGGGTAAAGAGATTTCTTCAGGGTCGGCACCGCGCACGTAATAACTTTGGTATTGCAGGCGTTCATAGGCTACGGTAACCACTTACCATCAAGTGGGCCGTATGCTAGTTTGCCACCTCAGTGGTATAAAAAAAAAATCCGATAAAATGTACTAAAACGACAAGTGGACGAAGCCACGTGCAACAGCTAGCGGTTTATAATTACGCTGAACAATGTACGGGTGATTAGTGAGTAATAGCGCACGCTCGCCGGATTAGCACCGGTGGGGATTCCGGGCCTTGACTCGCGTGGACGTCACGCATGCCGCGCGGGCGACGTCTATGAGGTACGCATTGATTTAATATCGACTTAAGAGCGATCATAATTTTTTTTTTTATTTATATAACTGAAATAGCGCGGGCAGGTTCACCATTTCATTATCATCCATTAAAAAAAGAACACTGCGTTAGCCTATACGAGGTCGCCTGTCAAGAATCTTTCTTCCTCATCGGTTGTCGGTTCTTCGAGCTATGTGACCAGCCCATTGCCACTCCACCTTGTTTATCCTTCGGGTTATGTCGGTTACTTTGGTTCTTTTGCGGCTATCCTCGTTTCGGATTCTATCACGCAAAGTGACTCCAGGCATAGCCCTCTCCACATCCCGCAGAGTAATTTGAAGTTTTTGCATACAGGCAATCGTGTAGGACCATGTTTCGGTTCCATAAGTCATCACTGGCAACACGCACTTGTTAAAGATCTTCGTCTTCAAACTCTGAGGTATTTTGGATGAAAAGATGTGGCGTAGTTTTACGAACGCTGCCCAGCCGAGTTGGATTCGTCAGTTGACCTCTCGGTCGGAGTTGGACTTACCCATTTGGACAACTTGTCCCAGGTATACATACTCATCGACAACTTCAAGCGTAGTGTTCTCAATTGTAACCGGTATAGGTGAGAAATGGACGTTAGACATGATCCTAGTCTTGTCCATGTTCACCTTAAGACCTATCTATTGAGAAACACCATTGAGGTCACTGAGCATAGTATTTAAATTCTCCAGGTATTCCGCCATGATTACTACGTCATCGGCAAATCGAAGGTGAATTATGTATTCGCCATTGATGTTTATACCACATCTTTTCCAGTCCAAGAGTTTGAAAACATTTATCCAATACAGCTGTGAAGAGTTTCAGAGATAAGACGTGACCCTGTCTTACACCTTTCTGCACTGAGATAGGTTTCGTACTCTGATTCCGTACTCGGATAAACAGCGTAGCCTTACTGTACATACACTTCAACACTTCGATATACCTATAATCAATCTGGCACCGCTGGAGGAACTGCAGTACCGCCCATGTCTCGACCGAATCAAAGGCTTTCTCACAGTCCACAAACACCAGACATAGTGGAAAATTAACCTCTTTGGTTTTTAAGCAAATTACTAAATGTACAATTATTGAATTCTAATAGACACATAGGCTACAAAACAAAGATAATGTACCTATATGATATGTACCTACATTAATTGAATCAGAGAAAAAAACACCCACTTCTGATGTTGGTATCTATCAATAATTTTAATAAAACAACATAAACGGTACCCCCACACTGCCTCATGCACACCTCAATTCAATTAGGTATTTGCTTGTAATGATTTGTCCATTTAAAAAGTTAAAAAGAAAATAAAAGAAATTCATTTTTAATTCGTCCTACACTTTTAACTCCATTTAAAACTAAACTAAACAGAAGCATTGCTGAACATTGTGGTAACCGACTTATGAATGGATACAATAATAAAATATGGACATCTAATAAACACTTTTACTTTCGTAAAAATGTTTTTCGGGTAACTCTTAAATGTAACTATAGTTTTTAGTTACATAATTCATTTTATTGCATCTACGCATACCGTAATTTAAAAAGAAATATTTTGTAACTATTCATTGGACCTAAATACAAAGAAGGGCTTAAAGTGAAGTTTTATTATTTGTTATTAGACTTTATTGCACCAATAAAATGTGCTAAAGGCGGACGCAAAGCTGTAGGCATTCTCTACCGACTAAGTCTTATCTATCTAAATATGTACAGAGATATCCGAATATGTTTACAAACTAGAATTATATTAAAAAAAAATGGAGCTTTCTATCTATAGTATATTAGATTTTTCTGTATAAATTGCCTACGTTAACATGGCACGCCCCTTCAACTTACAATAAAACAATACATATTAGCTTATTGCCCACTAAATATACGTGGATTCCATAGGAAAGAAACCCAATGAAATTGATTCCAACTTGCAGCTAGCTTTAGATTTGGGTCGTGCCCTGGTATCGTAGACAACATATACCTGACATAATAAGTAAACAATTTTAAATACATATAATGGTAAAAGATTTAGCTTTTACCATTATATGTATTTAAAATTGTATGAATGTAAGACATTAAAAGAGTACTCACCACGCGTCCCCACACTGGCTGGAAATCACGCTGATACATGTCACTGGAGGGAGCCACTTTTGCCGGTTTCGTGCTACGATCCACAATCGGTATTATCATGTCCTCTTCTACGGACTGCATCTATTTTTAACAAATTATTGTCAATGTTAATAACAAATAGTATTGTTTTTAATTATATCTTTAGTGCCTTATGTCTTCTATCGCCAAACAGTTCTGCACGCATGGCTTTGTTTCAGTTTAAATTGTGGGCTATTTTATTATAATTATCAAACTTTTAACTCAATACAAAATCAACGAAATGTTCTCAAAATACTAGGATTTTCATCATTGGACAACTTCATGGATGGATGTTGGGTTTACGACGACAAAACACCACTCAGCGTCTAGTTTTCTATCTATATGAACGTATTTCCTTCAGCACGAAATTCGAGTGTTAAATTACGGAATTAGAGTTATTGGTAGATCTATTATTACTACCAATAGGACTTAGGGGCCAGTCAATCCTCCCCCTTCCCTCCCCCACATGTGTCCCAAATATAAGAATTTTAATGTATGTCAAATTGTAATTTCTATCAATTGTCTTATATCCCCATCTTAAGGGAGAAGAGATTGCTAGTAATGGAGTCTAACAGCCCCCATTGCTAGCAATATACCCTACTAGGTCGACCTCCACGAGGTTCTCTCTGGAAACCGGCCTGCTGAATTCATCACGATAGGCTAACTGACCTCATTCTCTCTATCAAGTCTCATTTATCATAAATCATCAGCCACTGGTACTCCACCTGCGCATATGGGAATTACTTGTACAGTAAAAGCTCTTTATTCGTAGGGTATATGTTCCGTAAATATACCGCGAATACAGACTGTGAATATAGAAAACTGAACCACTTATACAGCGGCGTTAGCATTTGACAACATACTATAAGCGTAGTTGTAATAAAGTCTGTTTTACTTTTTAATAGTCCATTTGCCAATGCGTTTACAAAGGATGCATAATCCTTTTTAATAATAATATATACCGATTAGATCCGCGAATATAGAAATCTTCAGCCGCGAATATAGGAATTGGGTCGCAATTTCTTAATCCGCGAATAGTGAGAACGCGAATAAAGGAAGCGTGAATAAGGAGCTTTAACTGTAGTAGAAATCCACGCTAGTTCCAAACTAGACGACGCTGTGTGGCATAGCTAGTAGAAATAATAGTGAAGTCGATGCGATCGCAGTGAGCGAAAACAATCAGGACCTCATCTCATCATCATAGCTAATATTCTATTAGAAAAACTACAAAACTAGTTTGTACGGATGATTCTAGATAAATGACGTAATGACGGTGATGAAAACCAAACTCACTTTCGGTATATTCGGTGAGGAATGCGACCGGTTGAGGCCGGTCGCCCCGGGACTGTCCGGGGACGCCATGTACGAGTCACTGTCATCGTCCTGCTGCCGGAAAATATTACTCTTTTTATACTAACTATGGTTACAAACAAGGATACGGCCCGTCTGATGATAAACGGGGTTAACATAACCCGTAACACCAGGAACGCGTTTTTATTCTCCATCAGTTATTGATTCTTCGAGCTATGTGACTAGTCTATTACCATTTCAGCTTGCTTATCCTTCAGGCTATGTAGGTTACGTTGTTTTTTTTTTTTTTTTGCGGCTATCCTCGTTTCGGATTCTATCACGCAAGGAGACTCCGAGCGTAACCCTCTCCATAACCCGCTGAGTAGTTTGAAACTTTTGCATACAGGCAATCATGTAGGGCCATGTTTCGGTTCCATAAGTCATCAGTGGCAAATTTTATAATTAACTAGCATTTAGCCCGTGACTCGGTCCGCATTGATTTCAGAAATAAGAAAACCAATGAAATAAACCACTTCTAGATGTTGTATCGATAAAACATACACCAGTTTTTAAATTACATCATCAGGAGAACAACTGTGAAAATCGCATCGCATTTAGTGCAGTAGTTTTTGAGTGATACCGGAACAAACATACAGCAGACATACAGAGAGAAAAACAGACAAACAAAATTCTATAAATTACTATTTTATTATCTATATCTCTTATAAGGACCCCTTATAGTAATTTCCCTTAACTACCTCCCATGTACAGACACCACCTGGTTACAATTTTTATTATTTATATTATTATATAAGTAAAACAGGATTCCTTAACCGACACAATATAAATATTTAATAAAACCATCGCTGGACTTCATCTCACTACTACCCATAAAAAAATCACTTCAAAATTAAAAGCCAAATACAAATAATTTTTTTTTTATGACAGACATTTAATAGCATTCGTTTGCAGTCTGTTTATAGATAAAAAAAAATGGAGAAAATGAAAATCCTTTAAAAATCCCTGAATGTGTATCTTTTTTTTAGGAAATACCGTTAGAAATAAAATAAATGTTTGGAACTAATTACACTACACTAACGGGACACTAGGCGTAATGATAAATTTGCAGTTTATTTACTTGATTTGATATTAATATTTTCTGCTTCCATTCGAGTTTAGAGTCATACATACATACATATCAGTCACGCCTATCTCCCATTAGGGTAGACAGAAATAAATACTGTAATTTATGACACATGGGATGATTTATATTGATTAATTTATACTTTTAGATTATATAAATAGAGCATCGAGTCTCAAAAACAGGTCCACTTTTTGTCAGCTAATTGTCAAATTGGCTGACTCGATTTTTTGTCAGTATTCTATATATTTACGCATACAATATATCTTGACGTATTATTTAATAATTAAAATTAATGTTCACACATTAAAAAGATGCAAAAGTTATAAAATAAAGTAAATATAGAAGTTATAAAGAATTAACTCATAACTATTTGTCACGCAAAATTATATAAAAAAAAGTTGACTTGCTTTTCTCGAAACATTCCTATGGAGACACTATCTATAGAATCTAAGTTATTCTTACTATATAATATACACTACCGCTCAAAATTAATTGGCCACCTGCATTTTGTTGCAAACAAAACAGACCCGGACATGTCTATAGGCGACGGTTACTACTTTCCATCAGGTGTGCCGTCAACTTAATTGTCATTCTAAGTTGCATAAAAAGCAAGATTTTAATTACAGGATGCCTGAAAAAGATCGCTCTCTCTCCATTTTGCTTTAACGTAATTAAACAATCGTACTGTGTGTAGAAATACCAGATAAATTTTTATAATTTGTAAAATTTATTAAAGGGAACTATAGTGTTATATTTATTCATTCAAAACATTTAAAATAGCTTTCATTGCCTATACAACACCACAAACTATTTGTCTATAGTCAAGTCATAAACTGCCTATTATTACTTGTCAACCGTTGGTCATAAAACGAAAACAATGTTATTGTCGGCATTTCTTTGAAGTCGCAATTTTGCCCGACATAACTTCTAAACGAAAAATCCGACCTGAATATTTTAAAGTGATAAAAGGGTGGGGTATGGCAATGAATTTACAGGGTACAGAGGAATAACACCTGAGTCCTCAGGAATGGCAACGCATGGGGGGTATCATGGGCGAAACGGATGTCCATGCTCATGTCTATAGGCGACAGTGACCACTTTCCATCAGGTGTGCCGTCAGCTTGTTTGCCATTCCAAGTTGTATAAAAAAATATTTACACGTATATAATTAGTCTTAGTAATCAAACCATTTAAATGGATGAGGATTAATATCAAAATACCAATATCAAACATATTCGAACCCACCCATAGTTAAACTTAATAATTGAAACAAAACCCGTTACTGTGGCTTAACTATAACAGTTAACCATATACCATCGCGAATTTGTTTATAAGTACTCCTGAGTTTTATTAATGTATATATATTTATATATCCTCAACAGTTTTTGCAGCGCGCGCAAAATAATGACTAACATATATAGGCTACATTTTGATACCTTGGGTTACACTGTTCCAATTTAGATAGAGATTTCGTAACTTTTTGAGAATACAGTTAAAGCTCTTTATTCACGCTTCCTTTATTCACGTTTTCACTATTTGCGGATAAAAAAAATGCTACCCAATTCCTATATTCGCGGTTATAATCGGTACAGATTATTTAAAAGGATTAGGTATCCTTTATAAACGCGTCGGCAAATGGATTAATAAAAAAGTAAAACAAAACCTTATTACAACTACGCCTAAAGCATGTTGTCGAATGCTATCGCCGCTGTATAAGTGGTTCAGCTTTCTATATTCACGGTTTCTGTATTCGCGGTATATTTACGGAACATATACCCCACGAAAAGCTTTTATAATATTCCAGCTATTTTTATATTATATTTTATAATATAATAGTTGTATAATAGTCTATTTTACTCGCCAAAGATGTAACTTTCTAACGACGAAACAATTATCAAAATCAGTCTAGTAGGTTTTTGAGTTGAATCATAACAAACAATCAGACAAACAATCAAATCTTTCCTCTTTCTAATATTAGTTTAGATGAAACTACTTCATCATTTATAGCCAGCAAAATGAATTGTTTTTTTCTTTTTTTATTTTTTAATATTATTAGTGGTAATAAAAACTATTTATCTATTTATCTATTATTATTTTCAATATTTAAACTTTTAGTATTTATTTAGAGGAAAGACTTATATGGCTTAACTCAAAAAAACGACTCAGCCGACTTTATAAATTGTTTAACCATTAGAAAGCTATATCTTTTCTTAGTAACATAGCCTATGTTATTATTATATACTCTCAAAAAGTTAGAAATCATGAAAAAAAATCATTACATATAATAAAACTGTAGAGGTCGAATGTCTGTACATAGAAAAAAAAAACGCTAAAAACCGAGTCAAGGAGATATTAGAAGTGAAAGAGAACACATCCAGATTACGTTAAAATTTTTCGTTTCTCTCTCTGTTTACCTGTACGGGCTAATGTCCGTAAATGTTTTGGATCATCCCTGAATATATATATATATATATATATATATATATATATATATATATATATATATAATAGTTACATTTGTGATTCGGCTAGGTTATAATCCAATCACATTATGTGCACAGCCTGAGTAGTTCATGTAAAGCAAACACATAAAATAAACTAAAATAAATAACACGAAAAATTAAAGAGTTTCCGTTTCCGGGATAGTTAAAAACTATAGTAACTTATACAGCTTAAGTACACAACCTACTTAAGTAAAGTCATTTTGACCTAAGACAAAGAGTGAGAACGACACGTCATTTGTTAAGTTTGGTCCAGTATTTCCAGACATTTTTTTTTTATACAACTTAGAATGGCAATCAAGCTGACGGCCCACCTGATGGAAAGTGGTAACCGTCGCCTATAGACGTGAGCAGTACCATGGAAATAACAGAGTATACTGTTTCGCCCATGATACCCCCCATGCGTTGCCATTCTTGAGGACTCAGGTGTTATTCCTCTGTACCCAGTAAATTCACGCCATATCCCACTCTTCAAACCGAAACACAGCCATGCAAATAACTGCTTCACGGTAGAAACACGAATAGCGCACATACCCAGGATACCTATAATCCCTACCGATTTGTCAATACCTTTCAAACGCCTTCAATTTCCTTTGAAATCATCGTTCGCTTGAACAATTAATAAGTCCTAAAGCAAAACTTTCACCCTAGTAAGGATAAACTAATAAAAAACTCATTTGTTCAGTAATGCGTACTCCCAGTCCTATTGCTAGCGAAATACCCTATCAGGTCGACCACCACGTGGTCCCCACTGAAAACCACGCTGCATTTCAAGTGTATTAATCACGATGGTCTGACTGACCTGTCTTTTCATTCTCACCTATCACCCCTCACTGGTGCCTCGCCAGCGTATACCGTTAGCGCAGGTGGGGTTACCATTCCATTATCATCCATTGAAAAAAACCTGTATGATGGCTTATCACAAGTTGAAGCTCCCGAAATACAATACATTTTCCTACCGCATAATAATAAAACATCGAATGTTCTTTTGGATTTACACCTGTGCGAAGTCGGGGCGGGTTGCTAGTTCAAAGAAATACTTTTGAGCGGTAATGTATAAAGAGGGATTTAACCTAATCCAATATTTATATGACGCTAAGTATATTTACTGTTACGAATTAAAATCCATTCAGTTTTACATATATATTTAAACATATAGGCCGGCAGCACACCTGCAATGCCTTTAGTATTGCAAGTGTACTGTCACGGGCAGCGGTAGTCACGTACCATCAGGTGAGCCGCATGTTCGTTTGCAGCGATATAAAATAGGTCTTAGATTATATAGATAGAGCATCGAGCCTCAAAAACGGGTCAACTTTTTGTCAGCTAATTTGACAGTTAGTCAAATTAGCTAATATGTTTTTTTTTTTTTTTATCAGTATCCTATATACAGTGAACGCTTTATATAACCAATCTCTCTATAAGCAAAATTCTTTACATTTTATTTATTCTACACAGCTCAGTTAGTCAAAGAAATAAGTAAAAATATTTTCCAGACGGTAAGTACATATATTTATACTCCTTTTTCCCCTATAAGCGACTTTTCCAAATACGATTTTTTTTACTGAAATTGGTTCAAATGAGTTGCTTATTTATTAGCTTTCACTGTATTTAATAAAATGTTAAAATTAATGTTTACGCATTAAAAATATGCAGAAATTGTAAGACAAAATAAATATAGAAGTCATGAAGGAATCACGCGAAACTGTATGAAAAAGTTGATCCGTTTCCCTCGAGGCACGTGTACGGAGGCACAGTATATGTGTAGTGTATGCACTCACCCTGCGTGCGCGGCGCGAGGCGTGCTGCTTGCGCAGGCGCTGCTGCTGCAGCTGCTCGCGGTGCTGGTCGAGCTGCACGCGCTGTGCTTGCATGTCTGCGATGCGAGCTCTCTTCGCTTCCAATTCACGTTCAGCAGCCGCTTGCTCGCTGGCTAGGCGCGCTCGTTCCGCTGATCAAATACACGCTCGTGTCAATCGAAGCGAATGAGAAGGGCGGGAGGGGGGGGGGGGATTATTAGTAACAAGGACTAAAGGACACTAGCAATATGCCCAACCAGGTCGACCTTCCCGTAACCTCACTGGGAACCATCGTGCTGAATTCCAAACGTATTCATCCCGATAGGCTACCTGACCTGCCTTTTCATTCTCACCTATCAACCCTTACTGGTGCCCCGCTAGTGTACACCGTTAGTGCAGGCGGAGTTACCATTCTATTGTCATTCAGTAAAATCAAAATGAAATGTGAGTCCCTCGCCGTCGGTTCCGTACACAAACTGTTTCTAGTTTTAGCCCCTTTACACACAAAACATTTTAACATCATCATCAGATCGCCTTTAACTGACCACTGCTGTACATAAGCCGTCATCCGGTTACGTTTAATGTCCCGCCAGTAAGAACTAACCTACTTCAGCGCGCTCCCTTAACTCACGCGGTACGGTTATTAATAAATATTATAAACTACATTGATATTTCTAGTAGTAGTCTGCCAAAGATATTAGAAGCGGTTCAGACATATCTGGAGTCCAGTTAAATACCTTTATTATAAATTTGTATGTTAGCACACTAGGTTTATAACATTGATTTGGCTTTTGCTGTCATAATGTTGTAATTATTTTTAATGAATAAATAAATAAGCCTCCCCCTTGGAAGGTTTTGTCAGTAGTTACCACGTTTGACCGGAGAATTGACAACCGCAGTTTAGACTTTAGATATGTTTTAAGAGGGACACTGCTGCCCATCCCTCGCCCTCCCTTTGTCCCCTCTAACGACACCCACGGGAAAAATGCAAAGGAAGCGAAAGAGGGCTGTTTAAACCGAAGCATTTGGCGTTCCATTGTTTCTACCTAACCTAATAGGAGACAGGGGGAAGGAATTGTTAGTAATAAGATATTTACGTGTTATCTAACACATCCCCATTCATCGACCAATTTTAATAAGAAGTTGAACTAATTAATAAATACATAATGAACGCATTGTTAACCTGGCAATTATAATATCACACAAGAGACAAATGGCAAATTATTGTTACAGTAAGGTGATAAGATATTTACGTGTTACACACCCCCATTCATCGACCAATACCGTGCAATTAACTCATTGTTATTTGGAGTTATAATTTTACACTAATTATGTCCTAATGACATTTAAATGTGTGCTAAACGTGTGGATAGGACAGCAATTAGCTAATTACACAATCAGGTAAACATGTTTTTAGAACAAATAAGAATTTTGACTAATGGAAAATATCGTTGAATTTAGTCATAATTATGGGCCGGTGCTTACCGTGGTCTATGGGGGGGTGGGAGGGGTCAATGTCCAGCAGTGTACGGATAATGGTTGAAATAATGATGATATGAGTAACTAGCGATCAGACCTAATATAAGAGGGAGACTTTGTACAAAAGTCGATTGCTTGAGTACCTCTGTCCCATTCGTGTTTCAACCGTGAAGCAGCTGTGTTTGCATGGCTGTGTTTCGGTTTGAAGGGTGGGATATGGCGTGAATTTACTGGGTACAGAGGAATAACACCTGAGTCCTCGGGAATGGCAACGCATGGGGGGTATCATGGGCGAAACAGTATACTCTGTTACGTCCATGGTACTGCTCATGTCTATAGGCGACGGTTACCACTTTCCATCAGGTGGGCAGTCAGCTTGTTTGCCATTCTAAGTTGTATAAAAAAAATAAGTTGTAAATGTAGATTTGATTGGAAGTTTTTTGCTAATTTCTCAAAAACGGTGCTAGTTAAAATCATACTTTTATTTTTCCTGTAATATTCATATCATCATCATAATTTCAGCCATTATCCGTCCACTGCTGGACATAAGCCCCCCCCCCCTTCATAGACTGCCATAAAGAACGGTCCTGTACCACCTGCATTTAAATGTACCTTTATAAATAATCTCTTGCATTTATTTACTACGCAGTATAAAATAAATATATATTCTATACTGCGTAGTATAAGTACATTCTATATTCAAAATTTTATATTTCAGTCAAATTCGAGGTTTAAAATTGGTCGATTTTGATATTGCCGGCTAGTGTTACATTTAATTACAACAAAAACGTTCAAATACAAAACCCCAGTGCTACATATAATAAAGATCACTGGTGTCCCGCCAGTGTATACCTATAGTGCAGGGGGGGGGGGGGGTCGCTATTTCATTTGAACCTATTAAAATATATACAACACCCCGGCCCTGGCCGGCTTCATTTGTGCTTCGAATAAAACCATAACGTTTTTGTGTGACAAAAGACATCGGGAAACCCAATAAGGAATTGTTCCAACATACCATAACATTTTTTTTTTATATAAATTCACCTACACACATAAACTTAAATTTATGCATTTTTAAATAAATTAATAAATATTTATTTACAAGAAATATATAAAGTCCACATATTTCGCCCCAATTAGACGTGAAAATTTTAAAATTAATAAATAACTAAGTTTAAATATTAAATTAAGACGTACCTTCTGCCTCCTTGTCGTGGGCCGCGCTGGCAATAGAGTCCGCAAGTCGGGCTGCGTCCTCACGTTCACGCCTTTGGTATTCCTCAAGTTGCTCGCGTAAACTTAGGTTTTCTTGTTCCTATATCACGAAACACACTGTAGATACGCAAAATGGTTACAAGTTCAAGTGTTTGATTGTCCACTAGTCGCACGCGCAAGCTCTGCTGTTATCGTTTCTACACCACGAAACACACTGTAGGTGCGCAAAATGGTTACAAGTCTACGTCTTTGAGTTTCCACTAGTCGCACGCGCAATATCTGATTTTATTTTTAATATAACTACGAAATCGACTGTACTCAAAGCCGTCCGCGAAGATACTATCATCTAACCCATTTCTCTTGGGCGATCCGAACGATTGTGCAATGTTGCCATTCTGGATCTAGTACCTTAACTTAGTATATTACCAAATGTAATATTTTATTTTATTGTTGAAAAAATTGAGAGGTAGACCAAATTCCACTATGTTTTTTATTCAATTTGTGTCCACATTAGAAAATAAAAAGAAAATTCTCCATAAAAATCCAAAGACAAATTGTACCAAAAATTAAGAAAAAAAATCTATACTGGCATCACTGCGGCGTTACCAACACACAGATATTGCTATATTCTATATCAAGTGTCACAGAATAAAAATACTCACCATATCATACTGCTTGTTCTCAAGCTGCATAAGTTGCGATATGATCTCCTGCTCGCGCAGAAGGAACATCGCTCGCACCTCATCATGCTGCTCACTCTCGCGTTGGACTCGGACCTTCTCCCAGTCCTTGAATGAATGTATAAATACCACTCGTCAATATAATAAAGCGTCATCAATTAAGCATGAATAGTTTCAATATATCCCATATCTATATAATAAGTTCCGCTGGACATAGATGGTGGAAAAAAAACCATCCATTCCGATATTGAATATATCCGTTTTCGGGGAAATATTGTACATTACAATGTACACTTTGTGGTCCCAGCCTAGAATGGGCTATCCCTTTTAAGGGACTAAACAGAGGGAACTTAATGACAGAGGGATAGACAGCAGCGTCTCTCTTAAAATATCTCAAAAATCATCCCCTCTAAGGGACTAAACTGAGGTAACTTCATGGCAGAGGGATAGACAGCAGGGTCTCTCTTAAAATATCACCAAACCCTAACTACAATTGCCAGCAAGCCAAGCATGATAACTACTGGCAAATTCCCCCCTTATGGGGAGGCCTATGTTCAATAGTGGATAGTTAATGGTTGATATAATAATAAATAAATGTACAGATGTTGCCATATATAACCTATCCATCTAATTCCAAATTAAGTAAAACATGTACTATGGGCACTAGAAAACTGATGAAATCAAAACAAACTGTATTTATGTGAACTTACACAAAAGTATATGCAATAGTATTTCTTTGTGATTCTACTATAGTTTCGAAAAGTCAACTATTAAAAAAAAAAAGAAGAATCTCAACAGAGTAAGAAAGAAGGATAGGAATACTTAAGTTTTTTTACACACATATTAAAAATAGAGTACTATTAGACATTATATATTAAACATACATACACATAGACAACATATTAAACATAGAATACAAACAGACATACTCATGAACACAAATGTCTGTATTGTGACCATCGGGAGATTTTGTACAAAAATTGTCTGTATGGAAATCTCTATCCAATACAAGTTTCTGCCATGAAGGAGAGAGGTGAGTTTGAAGGGTGAGATATGGCAGTGACATTACAGAGTAAAGAGACACAACACCATGGTTCACAGGAATGAAAATATATGAGAAGTACCATCTCGGTGTATTCGGTGATGTCCATAGTACTACTCATGTTTATAGGTGACAGTTACCATTCTCCGTCAGGTGGGCCGTCTGCTTGTTTGCTATAATAAGTGTTATAAAAAAATACCAGACAGTGAGGCAATGTATGAACAGCTACATCACCAAAATCATCGAATGAACGAACGAATGAATCTAAAAAAAAGACTAAAAATGCTGACCTGCTCAGCCTCGATGCGCTGCATCTCGAGCGTGAGCGAGGTGTCTGCGAGGCGCTCCTGCTGCTCCAGGATCAACTGCATCCGCGCTCTCTCCTCATATATCTGCACTGCTACCGCCTGTAATAATACATTTTACAATTTTAGACTAAAAGACCTTTTCAACGGACTTCAAAAAGAAAAGAAGAAGAAGGACTTTGAGAAGGGCGTTCTCAATTCGGTTGCATTGTTTTTTTCTTTTCCTTTATGTTTGTTAACACCTGTCTCTGACAGTTCTTAACCTGTTAGTTGTTATTGGTTGGATGGAAAATTCTTTTTTAATCTAAATAAATATACTTACAGTTTGGTCGCATAGAAATTTTATCAAAATCCATTCGAGTGCGACATCGTCATAGTGGTAGAATACTGACGGATCTGACGAATATTACATATATAGATCCGTCAGTATTCTACGACTATGACAATATATACTGAAAAAATAAGATATGTCAGTGGTATTGAATTAACTCATGACTCCGACAGTTCTAGACCGATTTGGAAAACTCTTTTTTAATCTTAACGAAGACACTTACAGATTGATCCCATAGAAATTCTATTTATTTCGGTCGTAATATATAAATCTTAAAAAAATAAGATATGCTAGTGGAATTACTGAATCCTGTGACTAAATCTTTAAATTATAGAAATTGATATTGCATGAGTGAGAATTCCTGTGATATGGAACCACAGTGGAGTCGATTCTGACCGCCATTTGTTTTAATTAAATAGTTTCACAAAAGTACTGTTTCATATACCATCATAAACTAATTTTTAAATAATTTTTGCTATAAATCTATCAGAAACATACTTCATATTGATCTTTAGAATCAAGATTCGCTGTGATATTATAGAAAACTGCAATATTATTAGACATGGGTTTAGAAAACTGTTGCATCAAAATCAACATGTGCAATAAAGTATATACATAAATATAAATCATTTATACAGTGTAGGGACATGGCTCAGGACCGTTTCTTATGGCCGTCTATGGGGGAGGCCTGTGTTCATTAGTAGACATATAATGGCTGAAATGATAATGATTTATACAGTTACCTTACTAGCGCGGTCAATGATCGGCTCGCCAGGCTTGAGTTGGTGAGGTTTGGGCCTCGACGGTGGAGTCACTGGGGCCAGGTCAGACCAGTTGGGGTAGTCAATCTCGCCTGTAAATGTTCAAACCATATATTTTCTTATGTATATATTACAGAAGAAAGGAAAAAGGCAACTACGATGAAAGAAAATGCGATTTGATTTGCCGTTTAAATGAATTTAAGAACTGGGCACTTCGTATAGGGAGTGGCTTTTTTTAAAATGGGTATTAATGGAATAGTAACCCCGCCTGCGCTATCGGTATACGCTGGCGGAGCACAAGTGAGGCACGACAGGTGATGATGAAAGCAGATCGGTTAGCCCATCAAGACGAATTCCACTAGAATTAACCACGATGGTTTCCAGGGAGAACCGTATGAAGGTCGACCTGATAGGGTGTATTGCTGGCAATGAGTCAGTTAGACCCGATTACTAACAATCCCTTTTCCCCCTTGGCAGTAAGTTCCATAGGCGCACAGCCTGAATGGAAAAGGATTTGGTATAGTACACGAAGATATCATTGCTCGTCATCATCATCACATCAGCCTTTAACTGTCCACTGCTGGACATAAGCCTCTTCCTTGGCAAGCGGATTAGCAACCGCAGTTAGGCTTTGGAGATGTTATAAGACGGACGCTGCTGCCCATCCCTCGCCCACTAAGGTATGTGAAGAAGTATTTAGACAAACATTGATCGTGGTATGCGAAACACAACCGTTGTTCAAACAATGAATGTACAACTAAAGAGTTGATTTTTTCTAAAATAATTTATTTATTTATTTATAGGATCACCAACATAAGATACAGTGAAGCATTTCAATACAATACACTAGTGAATTAGAGCTAACTGTTCTTACATTTAGAAGCAACCACAGCATGCTTTGCGTTTGAGAAATATTCATATAGAATTAAACTATTAAATATCATCAAATGATATGAATGATAAAGATATTAATAATATACACATGTGATTAAATTTATAGTTAAATCGTTTCAATTGTATTTAAATTAAATTAAAAATAAATAAAACATAATGGCGAGGTGCATCAATAAATAATTAATAATAATAAAAAAACTCTCCCCGAGGCTGAAATATACCGATATCTGGACATGTCACAAAACACATGAGTGAGGGAGACGGATATGAAACAGTCAGTTCGCGAGGAATTATTTTGCACACCTTACAAGAGTACTGAAAGTTCCTTGTCGGGCGCCAATAAAATCCGAGCTTATAACGGCTGGGTCATACCCGTACTCCTTTATACTTTTGGCGTGCTCAGATAGTCTAAAACTGATCTCGAAGCCCTGGATCGGAAAGTCCGCACAACTATGACCCTCCATAGAATGCATCACCCGAAATCGTTAGTCATGAGGCTGTATATCCCGCGGAAGGCTGGTGATCAAGGCTTGTTAAGCGTTAAGACCATGCACAACCGCGAAATCGACAGCCTTAGGACATATTTTCTACAAAAAAGAGACGGGGGTATGCATAGAGAGGTCATAGAATGTGACAAAGGATTCACGCCTCTCTCTCTGGCTAAAGAGGACTGGCAAAAACCCGAAGTCCTGGGTACCTCTCAGTGGCAAGCCGCATGGAAAGAGGCGTTGCACGGAAGATTCTTCAAAGCATTATACACCGGTCATGCAAAGATCTCGCGGGCACATACCGATGAGCTCCGGAACAGACTTGTGTCTGAAATCGAAACTTCGCTCGACAAAGTTTCGATCTGGGGTGAACGCAATCTTGTTCACTTTAACCCTAAGAAGACACAAGTCTGCGCGTTCACCGCAAAAAAGACACCGTTTGTCGTATCTCCTCACTTTCAGGGCACTTCCCTCGATAATAAGTCGAGTCTGGGGATTCTTGGCGTCGATATATCTAGCGACGTCCAGTTTTGCGGTCATCTGGAGGAAAAAGCTAAGATAGCTTCCAAAAAGTTGGGGGTGCTCAATAGGGTGAGACGGTATTTCACGCCAGAAAACCGCCTGAAACTATATAAAGCTCAAGTGAGACCACACATGGAATACTGTTCTCACCTGTGGGCAGGAGCGCCACAGTACCAACTCCTTCCGTTAGACCGCATTCAAGGTCGGGCAGCTCGAATTGTCGACGATCGGCGTCTTACTGTCCGGCTCGACCCACTGAAACTGCGTAGAGATGTTGCATCTCTGGGCATCTTCTACCGAATTTATCATGGGGAGTGCTCTGAAGAATTGTTCGGATTGATACCTGCTGCAGATTTTCACCATCGTACAACCCGCCATAAACTAAAATTTCATCCCAACCATCTGGACGAGTGGCGGTCCTCCACCGTGCGTTTTTCAAGGCACTTTCTCCCACGCACAACCACTCTTTGGAATCAACTTCCAGCAGCAGTATTCCCGAACCGATACGACAACATAAATCAAGAAAAGAGCATATTCCTTTTTAAAAGGCCGGCAGCACACCTGCAATGCCGTAGGTGTTGTGGGTGACCATGTGCGGCGGTAGTCACTTACCATCAGGTGAGCCGCATGCTCGTTTGCCCCCTGTGTTGTAAAAAAAAAAAAGCCCTTCAAGGGCCGTACGTCAACACGAAGACCTCCGTGAACTGGCTACAATTCTTCTCTCTCTCTCTTCTTTTTTTTTGATCTCTTCGGAGAGACCGAGGGTTTTGTCTGTGCAATACAGGCTCAGGTGGTTAAGACGAACAATTACCGAAAGCACATTCTGAAGGATGGCACTAAGGACATCTGTCGGGCATGTCGCCATCCCGGAGAGTCACTCAGACATGTGCTTTCGGGTTGTTCAGTTCTTGCCAACACTGAGTACTTGCACAGACAACCAGGTAGCCAAAATACTCCATCAAGAACTAACTCTGAAGTACGGCTTCGCGAATAAGAGGTTGCCGTACTATAAGTACGGACCCCTGCCGGTCCTCGAAAGTGACAGCGTCAGGCTCTACTGGGATCGTGGTGATGGATCGGGGACTCTCGAGGGTGTTTTTGGTGGTCATCATACCGCATGACGAGAACTTCGTGAAAGCCGAAACCGAGAAAAAGAGAAAATATCTCGACCTGGCTCACGAGGTGACCGAAATGTGGGGGGTGACGTCCACCGAAATCATTCCAATCGTTTTGTCGGTGAACGGTCTTATTCCAACCAGTCTGGAACAACATCTCAAACGATTGGAATTCCGAGGCGGCTCACTCCCAGGAAAGATGTAGAAAGCAGTGCTCTTAGATTCTGCCCGTATTATACGCCGCTTTTTCTTCCTGGGGCCCTGAACCCCGACCGGATGGCTGGCTCATCCGTCATACTCGTTCACGAGTGTTCTTTGTGTTCAACCATATTATAGGCAGCCCAACAATCTGGCCGACCTCGCCGCCATACGAATACATATCATCATAACCGATGATGATGATGGAAATATAATGTTTTGGAAAATTGTAAAATTACATAATCAATTAAATAAATAAATAATGGCTACTCAGCAAATGTGGGCTATTATAATAATGACGATTAAAAAACTATAACTCACTGAGCATGTCGTCAAGGAACTCCTCCTGCCTGGGCGGTACAGCTTGAGGGTTCGTGGTGAAGGCCGGATACTTGAGTAACCAGTCTTCGTAACCGCCTTTGAGGGCCACTGGAGGCCGGGCGTAATGCACTTTTACATCCCACTGAGAAAATAATAATTCAATTTAATCATTTATTGCTATTTCATGTTGTAACAATATAGGTCTTAAGCTATTAAAAGTAAAGAATCAACATGAATCCTGGAAGGGCACAGCAATCTCATTAATGAATATTACATAAAACAATATAACTACATGCACATAATAATTGCATAAGATCAGTAACGAAATTAAGAATCTATCTATAACTTTCCATTGAATAAATCATATCATTTATAGGCTCTGCGAACTTCGAAAAGAGACTGAATAAGACTTCCGGATGAAGCCGAAACAATTGACGGAAAATCTGTGCCGGTACCCGGGAATACCTGCAGCTTGCGTTCTGTAGCCCAAGACGCACAATCAGGCATCTCAGCCACTCGCGATTAAGGGTCCCGAATGGTCTAGAAGTCTAGCTCTTTCGACCTAATTTGAAAATATTAAAATATAAGATGGAAATTTGGATCATAAAATTTTGTTATACATATAATTCAAATTAAAATTCTAATCATCTTTATTCAAATAGACTTGTTTACAAGCACTTTTAAATCGTCATTTTTAAGAGTTGGCTGTTTTACCCCATAATAATATTCCATAGGACAGTATACAATGAAAGTAACTAAAACTAATCTAGCAGTCTCAATATTAGTATACTGTTTGACCCTGCGTACAGCATACACCAGAGAAAATAATTTAGTTCCAAAGTTTCGAACATAAGGACTGACGGACCTCACTGAGTTTTAATATCAAGGGTGATCCCAAGATAATAGAATCTATAAAATCGAGAAGTTCGTTCTTTAATTTTACATTACAATTGGAATTATGATTCTTATTTTTTTAGCGTTCAACATTAAATTATTATTTGTAAACTAACAAACAAGACATGCCACAAAAACAAGAGATGCCACAAAGCATTATTTACATTGACATAATTTTTGGTAGATCTGTCAACTTTAAAAATCATCTGCGAACTATGCCATATCTATCCTGCATGGCAAAAACTAAATCTTTATTATAAACTAAAAATAGGAATGGCCCCAGAATATACCCTTTAAGTACTGTGTGTACCCACACAACACACAAGTGAGCCGTTAGATATAACGTTATTTACTTCTAATTTTAGAATCCTGTTTAATAATATATATATACATATAATCAAGTTTATTTCTTAATCAGTTTCCAATCCAAATTTTGTGGTAATATTATTTAACGCTTATAGTGTACATAAAAAAAAATTAGGTATGTAAAATTGTAATTTCGTGTATAATATAGTATATATCATATATGTGTAAGTATATTTATTATTTATATATATTTATTCGTTTATATATGTAATTTTAGTATGTATGTATATCAATAATTAGTAGTACCGCATTCGAGTATTCTGACACTTCCCTATGGTTGACTGGGAGAGAATGCTCTTAGCATTAAGCCCGCCATGTACACATATTTGTACTAATGAATAAATAAAATAATTTATTGCTTCTCATTCTATTTCATCAGATGTTTTATAGCAGAAGCATTCATGGTAGTTTCACAAGAGCATGTATTGGTAATGTATACAGTATATAGGACTTAGATTCATACACTTGTGTATCTTGATATCTGAAAAAAGATCGGCCTAGATGCTTTAATTTCATAAAAGCATACTTATTTCATTTCTAAGGTACATATTGTCAGTAAATTTTTACTTAACCATGTAGTCGCTAAAGCGAAGCCTCAATGTTCTGATAACACTCATTCGAAATATTACCGTGAAATATAATAGCTGTGTCATCAGTACAAGTAAATTCTGCATCGATTAATGGGTTTGACAGTAAGTCATCTATGTAACAAAGAAAGTATTGGACCCAAAATAATACCCTGCGAAACTCGAAAGTAAATATTCTCTAGATTATTTGTATGGTCATGTACTTTAATGCACTGTTTTCTGTTCATTAGGTACGTATTAAACCACACAAGTGGTTGGCTTTGACAAATCATACTATAAAAAATGTACCATAGTCATAATAGCAGATAATTTCAAAGGTTGGCGCTAGTATTCATAATTCCAAAATAGTATAGTATTCACACATTTTACAGTAATTAAAAAAATTAAATACAGGTAAGTTTATATTAAATGTTGTTTCGCACCAAAAATGACTTTATGTTGTACTTTAGTAGGCTAAAAAAATGTCAAAGCGCAAATGTGTGAGCGAGACACAGGGTGACGCCGTAGTAAGAGCGAGACAGATAGTGACCCTATTTATTTGTATAGGAATGAAACATATAGTAGTAGTAAAGTAAGAGTGAGACGGACATTATCGATTCGCCATTTTAATTGCGTTGCTTGTTCCATGTGGCATGTGGCCAAACTGTTCATAATGCGCATCTTTTATATTCATGTTACGCTTATAATAACGACTTTGATTTTATTTTGGATTTCATGCCTTTAGATTTTCAAGACTTTTTAACAAGTGACTTGAGTGACTACGACGCCTTTTTCTTACACAGCATTAAAATACACTATTTTTATTATTGAAAGAGGGGCTTTTTTCAGGCAGAAAAGACCGTGGCACAAAAGATCATAAAAAGCGACCTTTCTATGATCTTTTATGCTCGCCCTTTTTAAAATTTGCTGCTAATTCCTACTCATGATAGAAATTTTAAGAGTAATTAAGGGCTTTTTCCAGGCAAAAAAAAAAACCTGTGACACTGCGACCTTTTCATGATCTTTTGTGCTCGCCCTTTTCTAAAGTTTGCTCCTAATTCCTATCAGTAATAGGAATTTTGAGACTTTTTTTGTAACTGTTTTTTATCTCCTTAGGGATATAAATTGTATTTTCCAAAAGAGATATATCGTTTATGTATGAGTGAGTTACAGCCACAAATTTAGTGCTGCGGCGTTTCTTTCTCATTGTGACAAAATCTGCAAACATTTTTGGGCAAAAGCCTAGTTGGGCCATGTGCTTAGTTTAGTTTACAGTATCCAATGAGAACCCTTGTTAGTACTGACATATTATTTTTACTCAAAAGAATTAATTTCTTTAAAATAATTTTCTGAATACCTCTGAATTAGGGCTTTCGAATGATTTAATCCTGGTAACAAGAGCATGCTGTTATTTGCTCCTTCTAAGTTTTCAAATTTAAGATGTCTGAGCCTAAAGCTTCGAGGTATGCCACAAAATGGTTCTGGTCCTATTTGGGCATTCTTTGCCCCTTCCTTTGCTATTGATTAGTTATTTCTTTTTCATGAATATTTGATTGACCAGGGATCCATCTCAAGATAATGTTATTTCTCCTGCCTAAGTCATTTCATTTATGCAGTTGTAATTTCGTATTAGTCAAGTGCAAGTAATGCCGCTTAACTATCCGAGGAAATAAATATATTATTATTTATGTAGTTAAAACTTAGATTTAGTTCTACACATCTTATTGCCATAGTTTCTGCCTGAACGATTGTAAAATACTTGCCCAAGTCTAAACAGCTGTGGACTATTGGTCTAATACCATAGATACCATATTCCACACTCTTCTGTTTTGAATTTATGTATGAAGCAAACTAGGTTATGGTCCAAGTGAGACAATAGGTAATCTTTATTCCATTTGTCTCTTTTCATTTCCATTTTCAATTTTGTAATATTTTTCAAAATTACATTCTGAGATCATGTCGTCTTCTTTTACCCCATGATTATTATAATCGCGTTAAATTTCGTGAAATAGAGTAACAAAAAAATAATGGAGATCGACAATTTTTAGACACAATTTTGTGGACTCATGAAACCACGTGTAAATGTAAGTTCAATCAGCACATTTTTCATTGTTTAAGTATCGAAAACCCACATCATACTCTTAAAATCAGTATTTTTTTAATAAACTCGTAGACGGCCATCTTTTTTAAAAAATAAGATGTGTCATTTAATATTTTGAGGGATATGTGGTACCAAAACAACGGCTGCCTTGTACATTATGCTTGTCCCATGCGAGAGTACTTCAATGAGGAATTTTCTAACCGATGGATTGGACGCCTTGGATCAATTACATAGCTTCCACGCTCTCCGGACCTAATCCATTAAGATTTCTTTTTTGGGGGTGCCTGAATGATAAATCGTATTGCAAGCCAATCCGTTATATCGCCGGGCTTCGCCAAAGAGTACAAATAAATTCCCAAAGTTACTTCCGTCTAGTCAAAAGATTTTTTTTAAAGCATTGTCATGCATGTATTGATGCAGATAGAAAACAATTTGAGAATTTACTTTAATAGAATAAAATTATTAAAACCATTAAAATTTATTTGTTTCTTATACCGGAAAACAGCCATTTAAGATGAAAGACGCCACTTTCTATCTCCCTCTTACTTTAACAAGCGGCGTCGCTCTCTGTCTCGTTCACACACACGCGCTTTGATATTTTTCTGTAAAATGTGGGAAGTTACATCATTTTGGAATTATAAATACGAGCACCAACATTTTGAAATTACTTGCCACTATGGCTATGGTACATTTTTTTACAATATGCTTTGTCAAAGTTACATGATATATTTTTCCTTTCAATAATTCGAAGAATAATGAATACCTTTTTTTAATGTCAGTGTTACATCTCTAAACAATACAAGCAGCGGTAATAATGCAAGCAACGGTAACAATGCAAGCAGCGGTAAAATATGTGTGCTGGTTTGTGTGTAAGATTTTTGAAACAGTATTTGTGTGCGAGCTGTGACGTAATATTTTCGAGTGTTTAGCAATGAGTAGACAATTAAAAAATAAGCTGCAATTACAAATATTATAAGAAATAGCAAAAGCAAATATATGCAACAAAAATTTTAGCGGTAGCATAGTATGCTCGAAAACGTCAAATAGTTTTCCATGCAAAAAACATAAAGCTAATCGGGCATAAACAAGATGACAAGCGTAGCGTAAAAGCACAGGAGCGTTAGTTTAGTTTAGCTGTAAATTGGTCGGCAGTAGCTAGCGGTAGAAGTTTCTTTTGCCCGAAAGTAGATTGGGCATTTGCAAAGCAGGTCATTGTATGTAGCAATATGGATAGCAGAATTACCTGTAAGTTTAAGAACATATATTGTACCATTCCCTGTCCAACAGTATTTGAAGTCAAAAGTTAAAAAGTAGTCTTTAATTATTTTGTATGGTATGTATGTAAACTGCATGTATACTATACAATATTTATTGTAGAGTATCTATCACAAATCCACACGCGAGTAATTTACTAGATTTTAAATATAAAAAAAGTAGGCATAGCAGTTTTTTGATGGAAACTGATAGAGTAAGGGAAAGATGCGCGGGTAGAGCGGGATCATGCAAGCCAACGCATCGACTACAACGGTCGACTACCTGGCGGGAACAAAGTACCCCTCCTCTTATCGCCACGCTAATTACCTTTATCTTTTGTTAGTTACAGGCGCATTATTTACTTCGGCGCATTTTTTTTTTGGGCACAAAAACCTGTTACAGTGTAGTCACATCGTAAATAATAAGAGATGGTACGTAACTACATTTTAAGCGGTAAAACGCAAAAAACGGTACGAAGTTGAGAGTATTTTTTTTACAACACAGGGGGCAAACGAGCGCATGGCTTACCTGATGGTAAGTGACTACCGCCGCCCATGATTACCCACAATACCAACGGTATTGCAGATGTGCTGCCGGCCTTTGAGGAATGCCATCGGGCCCACTCGACTTATGGATTTCAAGGAAGAGAAAGAGAAGAGAAGTGCTCTACGTACTGATCTTTGCGAGTATACCGCGTTTATAAAATTAGGGCATAATACAACTATCTGTACCCAAACGTTGGACGATTTTAGCTGAGATAGTGCGCAGAGATTGGCAGTGGAAGTTAAAGATAAAATTTTTATGTTTTTCGAAATTGAATCCTACGTCAAGCACTCAAGATGCGGCACAACGCTTTGATGTTTTTTTTTTATGTATGATAATGGAATGATTACCCTGCTTGCGTTAACGGTATACGTGGGCGGGGAACCAGTGAGGGTTGATAGATGAGAATGAAAAGGCAGGTCAGTTAGCCCACCGTGATAGATACACCTGGAATACAGCACGATGGTTTCCAGGGGGAACCACGTGGAGCTCGACCTGACAGGGTATATTGTTAGCAACAGGACTGGTAGTCCGCATTACTAAGAACCCCTTTCCACATATATAAACGAATAGATATAAATAAATAACAAATATACTTACATATATATTTGTTATACATACATACATTATGTATGCATTTCAGAGAAAAGCCCTAAAGCGAATGATGGTCCGTGCGTCACTCACACTCGTGATGCGCACTGTCAATAGATCTCAATATTTGTAGGATAAATTTCTTGTCACTGTTTACCACAGGAAGACTTTGTACAAAAGTCCATTGCTTGGATATCTCTGTCCCATTCGTGTTTCTACCGTGAAGCAGCTATTTGCATGATTTTGTTTCGGTTTGAAGGGTGGGATATGGCGTGAATTTACTGGGTACAGAGGAATAACACCTGAGTCCTCAGGAATGGCAACGCATGGGAGGTATCATGGGCGAAACAGTATACTCTGTTATGTACATGGTACTGCTCATATCTATAAGCGACGGTTACCACTTTCCATCAGCTTGTTTGCCATTCTAAGTTATATAAAAAAAAAAAAACATATTTTACATTTTAGTACTAAATGTTACTTAAATAACAAATGAGGATTTTTCCCTTTTATGGAAGAATATAATATGAGAATTTGGATACTGATTAAAGAAATTTCCGAATATAGACATTCCTAGTTTTATGGGAAAAATTTTATAAACTCTATACCCTTGCCACGTCATATTCTAACAATTATTATTATATTATTAATTCTAACCAATGAGTGTCCGCGATTTATATTCTGTTACAATGCTAGCATATGGTCGCATATTGTTGCCGAATTACAATATCGTTTATTTCCATTTAAATCAGCTATACCATGCCTATATACTGCTGTAGCGACTAGTGACGTTTACGCATGGCAACACAACGTTACTGCGCAGTTGGCAGTTCTGGAATATTACTGAGCAGGTAAAATTATTTATAGTCGCATATTATTGTATTTTCCTATTATATTTATTAGCAAAATGTTGCTCCTTATTGTGGTTTTTATGTTATATATAAATATATATATAACCTCTGTCCCAATCGTGTTTCAACCGTGAAGCAATTGTGTTTGCATGGCTGTGTTTCGGTTTGAAGGGTGGGATATGGCGTGAATTTACAGGGCACAGAGGAATAACACCCGAGTCCTCAGGAATGGCAACGCATAGGGGGTATCATGGGCGAAACAGTATACTCTGTTATGTCCATAGCGACGATTACCACTTTCCATCAGGTGGACCGTCAGCTTGTTTGCCATCTTAAGTTCTATAAAAAAAACATATCTTTTAGACAACCGCATTAGGGTAAACTCATTAGTATATTTTTTATTTTTAGTTCTTTTGTACTCGTTTACTGTATTACGCTCCCCTAGTTACCCTTTACGATAGCCCGAAGATGTAAAGGAGAGGCAGTACCTAGTCTTATTCCATCGCGTTTCATTATAAGAGTTCTACAAATCTAAAATCCGAACGGGAGCAAGCAACTAGATACCAGTCTGAACCCTTCGACTCAGTGCAACGACGAGCTATGAGAATTGTCGATGATCTCAGGCTTACAAACGGTATCGAACCCTTAACTTTTGGAGTGATTTTGCCTCACTCTGTGTATTCTACCGCTTGTACAACGGATTGTGCTCAGAGTAATTATGCAATATGATGCCCACGGCCAATTTCTACCATCATACAGTTCGCCATCGACAGGAAGTTCACCCTCATACCCTAGAGCCTAGATGATCGCGTACAATGCGATTTCAGAAATGTTTTCTCCCATGAACGCTCACATTATGAAATTGGTTCCCTATATGCTTGTTTACCACCATTATTTAACATTTACCATCAGGCGGGCCGTATGCTTGTTCACCACCATTATTTGAATTATTTCACATTGACCAGCAGGCGGGCCGTATGCTTGTCTACCATCATTATTTAACTTATTAAACACTGGCCATCAGGCGGGCCGTATGCTTATTTACAAGATGAAAGGAAAATATTACTATTACGTCATTGCCACTATCACTTACTACTTATTTACCTTGAGCAATATCGTCTTAAGGAGATGCAACGTTTTCCCCGGTATAACTTCTGTGCTGTTCCAGTCCAGGATCACGATCAGCTCCATGCTGGCGCGTTCAGCCCACACCTCCTTGGACGCCGCCGGTAGGTTTTGCTCCAAAACGTTGGCTGATTGACTAAAAATATGTCCATATAAATATTGAACAGCGCCATCTTACGTGAAACTAATAATAACAATTTTTTTTTAATAATGGAATGGTAACCGACTAAAAAACTACGACTAAATAATACGACTGAAAAACTATTTATTACATCAACCGTTTATCGTCCACTTCTGAATACTCACGGGAAAGGAAGCGGTGGCCTATTCTATGCCGGGACCACACGCGGTGAAAAACTATTTTGACGTATAAAAACTCTTTCTTTACAAATTTTGGAGGAAGAAGGATTGTTAGTAATGGGGTCTAAATGACTCATTGATAGCAATATACCCTATCAGGTCGACCTCCACGCGGTTCCCCCTGGAAACCGTCGTGGTTAATTCTAATGGAATTCGTCACGATGGGCTAACTGACCTGCCTTTTCGTCGTCACCTATCATCCCTCACTGGTGCCCCGCCAGCGTATACCGATAACGCAGGCGGGATTACCATTCCATTATCATCCATTAAAAAAAGCAGGGTTCATGTAGAGGACAATTAATTAATGTATTAACATCTTTATAGCCTCATGATGTATTAAATGTATGTATTTATGTAATATTTTATTATATATTTTAATATTTTTTTTAACTGTATGTTTGTTTATGTATTAATAGTTGTAGCACTTCAGCTGCCCGCTAACGAAATGCTTTCTCACTGTACTGGGTTGACTGGAAGAGATCTCTGTCAGAGATAAGTCCACCCTTGCTCACAACATTTATAAATACATTATTTTATATGTAACTTACAAGTGCTATAAAGAATAAGTATATATATAAAAAAAAAAACAATTAAAAGAACAAATACAAATAAACAATTTATAATATAATATTAGTAAGGATTGTACGGAGATCATACGTCAAGATGTCAGATTAGAGTTCGTATAATTTTTAGTGTAGGACGATCCCCACTAGATGGAGCGACGACCTCAAATGCATTGCAGGCAATCAGTGGATGCAGGTGGCTCAGGACCGTTCTTTATGACAGTCTATGGGGGAGGCCTATGTCCAGCGGTGGACGGATAATGGCTGAAATGTATATTTAAAAATTTTTTATTTAAATGTTCAAGGGACAGACGGAATTTTTTTTTTGCTGTCATTGTTCGTGATGTCACGCATGGGCGTGGTGCCCAATATCAGCGCTGTAGCAATTAAATTGCTGCAGCACATTCCGAGTGGCGGCCACGTTGGCAATAACAAATGTAAAGTTTTTTTTTTCTATGGATAATTTATGTAACTTTTTTGTTGTTGGCAATAATTGTTTTTCTTCTTTCTTTCTTTCAAATAATTAGAATGGTAAAAACCACTAACTGTCCAACTTAGAGAAGCTCATTAAATGAGATATTAGTCGAAGATAACTAAAATTGTTAATTGACGGTATAACGATATTAATACTCACAAACTTTTTTTTTTATACAACTTAGAATGGCAAAAAAGCTGACGGCCCACCTGATGGAAAGTGGTAACCGTCGCCTATAGACATGAGCAGTACCATGGACATGACAGAGTATACTGTTTCGCCCATGACACCCCCCATGCGTTGCCATTCCTGAGGACTCAGGTGTTATTCCTCTGTACCCAGTAAATTCACGCTTGTAATCATCATTACCGATATAAAACTGCATTGTAATTGATTTATGTTATTTTTATTTTACACTACTAGCGACCCGCCCCGGCTTCGCACGGGTGCACATTACATCGCATTAGAAACCTCTAAAATTATCAGTGTTCCTCTACAATATTATGCATGTATTATACATATAAACCTTCCTCTTGAATTACTCTATCTATTTAAAAAACCGCTTCAAAATCCGTTGCGCAGTTTTAAAGATTTAAACATACATAGGGACGGACAGACAACGACAGCAACTTTGTTATATATATATATATATATATATATATATATATATATATATATATATATATATATATATATATATCGTATTATTATGGTGTAACGAGAACTAAAGACATATTAATGTAAACATAGTAATTACCGTTAATGGTCCCTAATGAATCATTAACCGACTCTGGGAGGGACTTTTTTTTAATGTATACTAGTGAATACATTAAATAATCATTAAAGGACTATAACTACAGTAATAAGTGCAAATAAAGTAATGTACAGTGGTACAGTGGTACCCTGCACTTTGGTTATGTTTTGTTAAGAGAGGGACTGGCTAAAAACCAGATGGACGAACGTGCAAATGTGGGTCGAGGTGTAGCCGAGGCACACATACGTGAGTCCATCAATACCTAGTTCTGGCCAAGGCTTATATAGTACTTTTCTCAAACAATGCGCGGAAATCAAAAACATAATTTTACTTTTTAAGTTCAATGACTAATAACGAACAATAATAATTTTTCAGGCGCCATAATGTTCCTTTGTTTTTTTTTTCCAATATATAGCTTTCTATTTGCAAGCCAATTCGAAATTTAAATAAAACCTTTTTTTAGTTTTTATTGACTATATTTAAAAAAAATGTACTAGGCGAGTTTGTCAAGTGACTTTAAAAAATGGCGCCAATTAATAAGGATTCCTAAATGCTGTGACACGTGCTAATTTATTTCTTACATTGCAAACAATTTTTTCAATAAAAACCAGTTTTGTACAATTTTTTCTTATTTACTTAAAAATTGTTCAAATGTACCCGCGGCTACGAAGACATCGGGAAGATTCATAATTCTTTGAGAAAACTTTATGGTCGGATGAGTCAACATTTAAAAAAAAAATGGTTACATGAACCTGCATAAATTATACTGCATAAAGTGAAATTTAGTAACCTTAAATTTGATGAGACAAGATAGATCACAGTTTAAAATGAACACGTAAACCGGAATATTAAATGGGAAAATAGTTGGTCCTTTTGAGCTGCTAACGCACGAAGGACCGCCACTCATCCAAATGGTTGGGATGGAATTTTTAACTTGAGGCTGGTTGTACGATGGTAAAAATCAACAGCAAGTATCAAATCGAACAATTCCTCAAATGCAATGTCTCTATGCATCTTTTATCAAACTTCTAAACTGTCGATAAACGACGTTGACGATTTTGTATTGGAGTTGGTGGAAGACATTTTGAATATTTATTGTAAAAATAAGCAGTTGTGTTTGCATGGCTGTGTTTCGGTTTGAAGGGTGGGATATGGCGTGAATTTACAGAGGAATAACACCTGAGTCCTCAGGAATGGCAACGCATGGGGGGTATCATGGGCGAAACAGTATACTCTGTTATGTACATGGTACTGCTCATGTCTGTATGCGACGGTTACCACTTTCCATCAGGTGGGCCGTCAGCTTGTTTGCCATTCTGAGCTGTATAAAAAAAGAAAATTTAATACTAATCACATGTGTTTCATTATTAAAACATGGGCAAATTAATCTGTACTTATCGTCATGTTTTCTCTCATTTTAGAAATGTAATTTTACAGTGACATTTGTATTTATTTTTTAATCACAGTATTGTACATTTTTAGAATCATTATGAAATGTTGAAATTTTTATAATAATGTGCCACACTTGTTAGACAGTTAGTCACTTATGATGGTAAGTGACTAACTATATAAAACAGTACCTAAATTTAATCAACTGGTATAGAGCATAGAACTTCAAGTTTCTCTTTAGTTTTCTATTGTATGTATTATCATTATCACCATATCAGAGTTAACTGTCCACTGTGGGGGATGTTCATATGGTCCACTGTAGATCTAATAGATTTCAACAGGGGAGAAGGGATTGTTAGTAATGGGGATTAGTAGCCCCATTACTAGCAATATACTCTGTCAGGTCAATCTGCTCATGGTTCCCCCTGGAAACCATCGTGATTAATTTATTGTTAGATTCATCACGGTGGGCTAACTGACCTGCTTCATCCTCACCTGTCATCCCTAACTGGTGCCCCGCCGGTGTATACCGATAGCGCGGGTGGGGTTACCATTTTATTATCACCCATTAAAAAAAAACCTCACCCTGGAGATATGCATTCCTCTGGTACACTAATGCACATGTGATACGCTATGTGGGACTCTACATATGCACTGCCCGGTCTCACGTCCAGTATCATTACTTTCAACTTGCCACTCTTCAATATGGAGTACAACTGCTCGCTCTTGATGGTCACCTCGTCTGGACCTGGTGAAACAGCATACAAATAGTGATTATCAACAATTACATTACACTTTATTTGTTTATAACCTTTTTACAAAGGTTTATTTTTAACCCTAATAAAATACATTTATGTAAGATGCATTGTTTTCTTTCATATTGTGTATTGTTCTATGGATAAATTTAAATTATTCAAGAATAGTTCAAGATAGGGATAAGTGGAAAAAACCGAAACTGTACCTAGACCTAACATTTACAAATTAAATAACCTAAGATAGATGGCACTAAACTATTATAATTTATTATTAAGAGGGCTTTTTCAGGCAGAAAAACCTGTGACAATGCGACCTGTCCATGATCTTTTGTGCTCTCCCTTTCTTTTTAAAATTCGCTGTTAATTCCTACCCTTGATAGGAATTTTTAGATTTTTTTTTCGAAACTATGTTTCTTATCTCCTTAGGGACATAAAGTGTATTTTCCAAAGGAGATATATCGTTTATGTATGAGTGGGCTACAGCCACAAATTTAGTGCTGCGGCGTTTTTTCCTCATCGTGACAAAATCTGTAAACACTTTTTGGGCATAATTCTAGCTGAGTCATATGCTTGCTTAGCTTGCAGTGTGCAGTAAGAGCCCTTGTTAATACACACGTATTATTTTTACTCAATAATTTCTTAATTTTCTGAGAAGGCGTTCAGGTCTTTCTAACTACCTAACTAAGCCAACTACTAAACTAAGGGGGGGGAGGGATTGTTAATAATGGAGACTAAGGACCCCATTGCTAGCAATATACCCAAATAGGTGGTCCCCCCTGGAAACCATCGTGCTGAATTCCAAGTGTATTCAACACAATGGGCTAACTGACCTGTCTTTTCATTCTCATCTATAAATCACTCACTGGTGCCCCACCAGCGTATACCGATAGCGCAGGCGGGGTTACTATTCCATCATCACCCATTAAAAAAAAAACTACTAAACTAACAAAGCATGTTATTACATATTAATACATGTTTTACTAGATTACATTGGCAACCGATAGAATTTTTTTTAATAAATCCATTGTACATATAATATCCTCATTCCCATAAGTTCATGACTTTCATCTTTCATTACAAAGATATATATATGATAATATATATGGATATATATAAATATTATGTTACTTTAAACTTTGGTGAAATACAGAATACTGGTAAACTGGGACTGGTTGACTGGGAGAGAAGAGAATTGGGAGAGAACTTTTAGCTTTAAGTACACATAATAAAAAAGCTGAGAGCAAGCATATAAATTATAAAACTATGAAACCGTATATAAGTTTTTTTTATGTTTTTTTGAGATGGCCAAGCTAAAAACTTTTGCCACAAGGGAGAATACTAAAAATACTAGAATTCACATGAATACTAGAAAAAAAAATTAACCTGGCAATCCTAAAGGTGTTGGTGCTTCAATAATTGGCACTATTTCCATCTGTTTCTTTCTGCTTTCATCAATTTTCTGTTTAAACAACTCACTCTCTTTTATATCATTCAATCGCTTCGCTTTCTGCTCTTTGGCATATCTGAAAGAGTTGAAAATTTTAAAACTATAGTTTTATCAAATTATTGATTCATTATTGCATGGAATATATGATGACACCTGAGACTTATACTTCTGAATTGTTGGCACATTGCCAATAAAGTCAATCAAGACCTTGCCAATATACAGAATGAATTTTTTGAAAACTGTTAAAAATGTACACTATGATTTTTTGTTCCTCACATGGACCCATAATTTCTCATTCAGGAACATGCCAATAATGAGAATGTCCATCTTTATAGTGACTTATGATAAGGAACCCATTAACAAAATGCTATATAGTGCTTTTTTACATAACTCGGAATATAAAATATATATTATAAAACAAATCAACTGTCTACCTGCAGAAGAATGACATTCTAGATCCATCTCAATATATATCACTATATAATGGGTCTAGAATGCCATTCATGCACTGTTTTGTCAGTCATTCAGTGCCACCATTTATAAATATAGGTTAAAAATTAATACACTACCTGTCAATTAAGCTGCTCTTCAGTTTTTCAGCAGCATCAAGGGCTTTGTTTGGATTTTTCGTGCCGAGCATGTTGTTAAAATACGACTTTTCCTTCAAATACTCCTTGTCCTTGCTTATGTATGCAATAATTCGGAGATACTTCATGTAATAAACATACGAAGACTCCTCATCACCATTCAATCGGGCCTCCTCTGCGTTTTCAAATAGTTTCTGTGCAGTTTTACATAACCTGAAAAATATTAAAATGTAATTATATAACATATTTAATGACCTGTATCAGACATTTTTTTTAATAACAATTCTGATGATATCTTTATTTAATCAATAAATTATATTTTCACGCCTACAATTTTAAGGCAATTAAACAGATGCCAAAAAGCTTTGTCACATGGACTTTATTATATTAAATGTCTATTTAAAGCAAATAAATATTTCATTTCATTTCAACAAATTCCTACTAATACCATGGTATTATTATAATAAAATAAATATTGTTTATTTTTTAATTTTTACATCATCATACTTACATCATGTTTACATCTTAAACAGCTGAAAAGATGAAATTTAATTATCTTAACCAATAAACTATAGATTTGTTAGTCCGTCTATCTTCTTGCCAGTCCCTTAAGAGGTGGACAAAGAGAAGAGCATAATTAATCACAACCATGTGTATTTTATACACATGCATTTCAATAATGACCTATTGTTTTTTAAACATTTAAATAAAGCTAAATAGTGTACACCACAACATTAATTGTAAAATTTCCAATCAATGTTTGTGTACACCAGAGCATACCAGGTACCACTTGTCATTAGACGTTAGTGACCATAAAACACTTGATATATTATAATTTGAGAGAGTAAAAATAATGGCATATGGCTTACATTGTGGCTCTTTTCGTCTTGAGTTCAGGTACATTGTGTAATTTGTCCAAATCCTCTATACACTTCCCAAGGCGAAGTTGTTGTCGATGAGTTTCCGTCATCTTGCTATTTAAATTATGCCTTTATATTTTAAAAGATCGATTAAAATGTAACACATCAGTCACTTGCACAACGTACCGCTACATTTGTTTTGTTGCTAGTTTGACAACGGAAATATAGTAAAAATTCACAGAAAGCAAACAAAAATTCACAAAGTTAATGAATGCAAGGAAAATGTCATGTTTTCATTCATGAATTCATTAGAGCCACAGACTTTATATTATTGTCTGTGATTAGACGTAATTTAATATAGCAGTGTTGCCAAATAAAATAGATCGGTATTCGCTAAAAATTTATCTAAGTAACTAAAAATCGTTTACATTTTTTTATTGCTATATAGCCTAAAACCCCTCAAACTTTCCCCAAACCCTCAGCACGTAACGTGTCTGTAAATAACTTTAAATGTGTTCCACAAAAAACCAACTTTAATTGTGGCTAAGCTAGTTATTTTGATTTAAAAAAACTAAAGCACTAAACCAATTTTGATAAAATTTCTATGGAACCTATCTGTGAAGATACCCTTTCTCTACTTAAACATATTTAAAAAATTAGTTGAATTTAGTAATTAATAACTATATTTTTTGTTATCGTGTTCATTTGTTAGTCAATCCATCCATCAATTTATTTCATTCACATACACAAGCCCTCTGAATAAAGCTTCATAGCTTTATTTCTAGCTAGACAATAAGAACTCGTTGAACCAATTAAATACCATCAACCATGTTATTTTATATTTATTATATTTTTTATGAGAAAAGAAATATGTGAATTTATTGTAAAGATAAATGTAAATGTATAGGTGCCTAGTTCTATCTATTAAGTAGCTGTAGGTATTTAAAACAAATATTTATATTTTCATTATTATTCGTTTAGATCAAGTTACTAATTAGGAAAATAATTTAAATATGAAAATTCGTATATTATTAATTTTGCAATTGAATTATATTAGTAATTACTAATTATATAAATAAAGATATCGTTCGAATAAGCACACAGATACAAGTAACACTGTGTTAACCACAAATCATTCATTCATTAGCCCCATAGATAATAAATATAATATAAAATAGATAATGATAAAAGGTCATTAAATAGATTTAGTACTTTTTTCGGTATTTAGTTTGTCTGTAAAAATACTGCTAATTATTTCCTGTGTATAGCAATAGCGAAAAGTTCCACAATACTCGTTGTCAACCTTCGTTACTGAGATGTTTTGTGAAGCGGTTAGCATGCGAATGTTCGTTCTTTTCATCAACAGGCGACTTATGAACAAAAATTACTATTGTGAATTAGTTATCTTTTTTTTTGACACTAGATTGCTAGTGGCGCTGTTGTGTTGTTTTGGAGAAAACCGCTTCAATTAATAAAATTTTGTTGTAACAAAACGAATTTGACAGCTACCATGTAGAACTGCGACTTTTCGTTCGATTTTGAAGTTTGTCATCTCTGTCCTCCCGATTGTGTGACTTTTGTTTACGAGCGGTGCTCAAAAATAATTCCTATTGCATTGTAATAAAGTGCATATTCTTATGACTAACTAACAAATACGACGAAAATTGTGTATAGACGTATCGAAGCAAATAACGCATGAGCGCAAGTTTTCATGCGCAGTGAACTCTTCAGCTTCCTGGTCGATTGTGGTTTTCCATTTAGTTTTTCAGCTGATCACGCTTTCTGTAGCCGCATCGCAGACTGTCCGCGCCGTGGGTCATGTGCGAAACTGTCGCAGCGTAGTGAAATCGCTGAGTGATTGTGTTGTGTAGTTTATTAGCTAGTGTCAGTGATAATGTTTTCAGGGCTTACGAATCAGGTCAGCTCGTGGATGGGCGCCGCGAAGGGCGAGCCTCAAGATGAGGAAGTGCCCACCCCAACCAAGGATGCGACAGCAGCCGGAGAAACTTCGGCGGAAGGTGAAAAACAGAGGTACATGCTTATCGATTCTTTGTTTACATTTTTCTTACCTACCTATTTTCAACATATTTTACAATATTCTCGTTGATAGGTAGTCATAAATATTCACCTTAGTCTAAAATATACTAACAAATGCCGTTTATGCGTATTTCTAAGTATATTCTCAGAAATTTTAAAGTTACATCCTTACGAAATCTGGTATTGATTTCTCATGGTGACTGTTTTAATTAGGTCACCAATTCAGACACTGTTTCGCAATTTTCTTTTTATGTAAGAATCTTATTAGAATTTTACTTAAAGTTGTTTTATTGCTTTAAACTAAAGAACTTAATTTTTATAAAACTTATTTATAAGTTATTAATATATTAAATTTAATGTTAAATATATTATGGTTTGTATTTTTACAATAATAGAGTAATAATTCTAGATGGTTAGAAACATTTCTGTTTAAACCATTGCAATAATTTATGAACGAGATGTTGAGTAATGGAAAATAGATGAGAGGTTCTTATATAATGTAACATTGGATAAGGGGTTCTTACACTAATGTGAAAAATAGTCTAGAGGATTGAAGGACATCATTATCTTTTATGTGTCGCTCTTTTACCCACAGATACAGATTATATTACTTTTTTAAATAAATAAAAAAAAATACAGATGTAAAAAAATACAGAGGCATTGTGAGTAAAATTAGCTAAACATTACATTTATATTTCTGTTTGTGTAAAGGTCTTAAATTTTATTACTGTAAAAAAAAGTAATTTATAATGGAATATAGTCAAAATGCAGCTCGACTGCAATAACTAAATTAGATTTATAGATCTAACTTACACCTATAATATATTATTTTTGTTGCAGTCCTACAAAAGGGGGCAGTAAACTGGACCTCATCACCAATGTCAAATCACAGATGACTGGGTGGCTGGGGTCGGGTATCCCTATCCCTGGGCTGAGGAAAAACGAAGCTCCACCTCCAGAACCTGAGCCAGCACCCGTAGAACCGGTAGAAGAACCAAAACCAGAAGGAAAAGACGATGATGATAACTCTAGGTATAATAGGTACGAGGGGTGGCAGATGCAATGAGTTCGCTTTGCAGTTGGTGTGTTTTTCTAATTGAAATAACATTGCACAGCCTATACATCAATGAAAGAACAATTAACCACTCTTAATTGCCTGCTCATGAAATTCGCTTCGAAAATATTAAGGCTTGGCTCTCCCTGACAGGATGGTCTGGATAAATTTTTTATTGATTAATTTTAGAACTAATAAATATTTTACTTATAAACATAAAGTTTTAAAACTTTAAAACAAATGATTTAAAAACAAATGATTTAAAAATTACACAAGGGCTTTAAAGCCCTTGTGTAATTTTTAAATCATTTGTTGGACTCGTCCAAAATAACAAATATAATAATTGTTGTACAAAATTAACATTTCTCATATTTGAATTTGTCAGTTGAAGTCATCAATACTCATGCGAGATTTATGACTTGGATCCAATTTTTGTTATTACATGTTGTGATTTTCTTACCACAGAAGTTTAAGAAAGAGCTCTTAAAGGTTTATAAGGATCTAATATGTAAGAAAAATATGAATTTAGTATTTTAACAAACAGATGTATAAATAACATATATTAAATATAATATGTGAATAAAACCTTACCTTATGAATTTTCAATTGCTTATCTAGTGCCATCCTGTAGGTCAGTGTTGACCCTTAGAAGCACTAACCCCAAATTGCAAGCTTTTATAATTCTCAAAAATTAAATACACCAGCATTTTAAGAGATTATGATAGATTCTCATTATTCTTTTTCAACTTCTTTACACATACAATTAAAGATTACCCTTACAAAAAAAAATAATTATAATTTAGTTTATTATAAAATATGGTACTAAGGAATATCATAAAGAATTTTTAAAAATCAATAAAAGTTATTGATAATATAAAACACAGGCCAATGTTGAATTTGGACTTTTTTCAAAATATTTAAAAGAAAATGTGAAAAAGCCATTATATTACAGAGGGAAAACAGGATTCTGTGACTTTTAACAATATATTAATTGTAATAATATAAAGCTATGATATCTAATTTTAAAGTAATAAATTTTTATACATAAAATGTAATTTACAAATTAAATAATAAAGAATAAAGCCAACTTAAATATGGCCACTTTTGTATTAATTAATGCAATTTCATTATATTTTTTTTTAAATAACACAAGCAATATTCAATGCTTTTCACAAGTGAGTCACACAAGCACTGAATTCGGAAATTATGCTGTAGTTATTATAAAGTTGCTTTAACTTTTTTTTAAATAATTATTTTAGTAATAATCACTGCTTCAGTCACCACAACACGCATTTTCAATTTTTTTTTATAATAGTAAAATAAAAAAAAAAGTTGGATGAATAAGTGATGCAAGTTTTTCATCCAACATTTTCTTGATATTCCCTATCTGTGATATATATGATGATTGGTGAAACGAGTCAACTACTTTCCACAAAATACTTTATAACGTTTATTTAATTAAAATTTGGCGCTTTAACGAACTTGAATTTACACAGAGTACTTTTTATTTTAAATCACGTGGGCAAACCCCTGGAATTCAATTATTGATTACATAATTTTTTTCGTAACATAGTGCATAAATGAATAAACGAAACGCAGTTTTATTTTTTTTAATTGTATTATGTTTTTTCACCTATGTCTGCATGGGGTTTGCTTTTCACAGATTTTTAATATTATAATTTTTTTTTTTTTTTTTGTAGATAAAAGAATAAATTGACTATGTTGCTGTTACAAGTACTTTGTAATACATTTTTCCACTCATTTCTACTCAGTCATTAGCGATAGACAACTTCAATTAATAGTTATTTTACTTGACTTACTTTTTTTTACCAAGGCAATGGAAATAACATAAAAGTTTTTAATTCAGTTGAATGAATGAATTAAGCCGCTTACACATAGTTGTCCGAAGTGCAAATAAATGTCATATAATCACCAGTTTTTAATTCTTTTATTGTGTGTAACCGTCTTAATCATTTTAACGGCCTTCTAGAAGCACACACCGAGTTTTATAAACTCATTTATTCTGCTCAAACCCCATTTTTTATTTATCATTGTTGTGCATCCTATTGTATTGTATGTTTTTTAATCTTTTCGGTACAGTCACATGCATCAGATTGAATCAGCCGTGGAAAAAATTTTAATGTCTTTTCCCATTTGTTTTATCATATTAATTTTTATTGCTTAGTCATTGTATTGATTGTTTTTTATTTCAGCTGATTATGGGTATATGCTAGTACCAAGTAAGAGATGGCGCTAGTATGTCGATAACTCTTAATACTTGTTAGTCAGTAATCACACAAAAATTTTCTTAGGATGACACTTTGCTGTTTACTATAAATGGCAACAAGTTAACAATCCAAATGATAACCGTCGCGTACAGAGAAGTTGAACCTTCAAATAATAAATACTTTGTTTAAATCCTTTTGAAATAATTGCTTTAAACTCTATATGATGCCCGAAACTTCCAACACGATGCGCCCGTTTGTTTCGCATCCAGCCCGTGAACATCATAAAGGAATAATTAACTCTTTGTCCCCAGTTGGTGGAAACGCAAACATTTGTGTGTGCGTGTGTGTAGAGAACTATTTGTCTAAAACTACGCATCTATTTGCCTATTCATTGACAGTTGTATCTCAAGGGGAGGAACTTTACTAACAAAGGGGTTTGTATAGTAATTAAATTTCGTAGATCGAGGTAACAATCTCCGTGGTACTGTGGTAGACGCGTCGCTTTGCGTGTCCAAGGTCCGGGTTCGATTTTTAATTGACACTTTAAGGACTTTAGGGAACTCACTTTTCTAAACTGACTCGACTCCCTGATTACGTGTCTTATTTTATGTTTATATTTTCGTAAAAGCGATTAGCGAACCATCAGCGTTAATCATTTTGATCCTGCATCAGCAGAATGATTTAGGAGTTACAAATTACATTTTTGTAAATTAATCTACCTCGAAAATGATTGCGCGTAATTGCTAATTTGTAAGCTACTAGTGCTCCTTTCCAGGTTCGCACGGGTAGATAGGTAGAAAGGAAAATATAGAGGAGTATTTTATTATATACTAGCGACCCGTCCCGGCTTCGCACGGGTGGACATTTTTACTTTGGTCTTAAGTTTTTATAGCGATAGAATAGCGAATAACTTGGCGGACCAGCTGATAGGTAGTAATAACATTACACCTTACAGATACACACATGTACATATAGGACTTTTTTTTTGATGGGTGAAAATGGAATGGTAACCCCGCCTGCGATAACGGGATATGCTGGCGGAGCACCAGTGAAGAGTGATCGATGAGAATGAAAACAGGCCAGTTAGCCCATCATGATCAATTCATAAGAAATTAACTATGATAGTTTCCAGGGAAAACTGCGAGGGGGTCGACCTGGCTGGGTCGCTAGCATATTGCTAGCAATGGGATTCTTAGTCTCCATTACTAACAATCCCTTTCCCCCTGCTTTAATGGTTAGGTAGGGAAATCGCTTATGAATTAAATCTTATGTATTTTATTTTATGCCCCAATAAGGTTCTTGCCTAATTGTTTTTTCTATGCGACTGTTGAGGTCGAACCATCGATCTAACCTCGTGGAGAGACCATTTGATAAAGTTTCTCTTTTGCCATGGACCATTATTTGGTCCCGCGTATTGAATTCTACGTGTATTCATCACGATGGGCTAATTGACCTGCCCTTTCATTCTCACTTATCACACACATATGATTCCTTACTGGTATCCCGCCAGTGTATTATACCGTTAGCGCCGGTAACTCTGCCAGTGACGGATGATAAGTGTAGGTCAGTTAGCTCATCGTGTAGAATTCCATTATCATCCATTAAAAAAAAAAAACTGTTTGGGCCCAAATAAATAAAGGGATCTTCCATCAATCCTGTAAACAAAACACACATAATTAGTAACATAGAGTAGCGCAACTTACGCTGCGCTTCGTCATTAAATTTTTCGGATGGCTTCGTTCGAACTACTGGTGGTCCCTGGAGTCCGGATAAGAATCACTAATTTAGGCTGTGATTATGAACGTATTCGATGCATTTGGCTGAACTAAAATATGTGTATGCACTCGTACAATCTGTTACCGTATTAAGTATTCACGTACAGGTTTTGATTGAATACATACAATTTAATGAGCAATTGTCTGAATTGTAGAATAATAATCGCGTATTTGCCAATCTTAATGGGGTGGACAGCAGCGTCACTCTTAAGACCCCCAAAACCTAGCTGCGGTTCCCGACCTGTCTGCCAACCATGGCAATTACTGCTAAGAACCCTTCCCCCCTCCCCCCTCCCCAAATGGGAGGAGATCTGTGTTCAGCAGTGGACAATTAACGGCTGATATGGATTTGGATGGTGTAGTAAAGGTATTTTTGTAATACAAGATCGGAAGGTAGAAAAACTGGAGTATCAACTAAGGGTGTTTTAATTGAGTGCTCCTATATTTCCTGGACATTAGAGATGGATGCACCTGTCAAGTTCCAGCATCTCCGAAGTTTATAATGTTTACAGATGGTTACCGAAGCAACGACGGATTTTCGATCGATCGGAACAGTATACTCTGTTATTTCCATGATACTTGCTCATGTCTATAGGCGACGGTTACCACTTTCCATCAGGTGGGCCGTCAGCTTGTTTGCTATTCTAAGTTGTTTAAAAAATAATTGTCACAGATGATACATATACCCGTTTTAGATAAGTTGTTATATCTATTTGAAAATATTTTTAATGCGTAATCTTGCATTTAGGAATCCTAAATTTTTAATAGGTTGCAAAAATATCTTTCGACGAATCTCTCTAATGAAATTCGAATCCATATGTCTGGATTCTGGATTTATTCTATCTGAGTGTGTTACCGGTTACACTATGGAAACAATATTATTTTTTCAAACTATTAATAATAATAATAATATATATATATAATATATATATATCGCGACATTACCAATTCAAGTAACCAAAGACAATGCAACTTACTAGTTTTGTCCGAAAGTTTTTCCGTTATCTTATTAAATATCGGTGACGTTGATATATCTTGTCTATGATAAATACTGTCTTTGTTAGATTACATACTATAGAAAGAGAAAAGTATATATGGCGACATTTTTATAACATCGGCTTGCCGATATATGTCAATTTATATATAGATGTTTTTAAATAAATTATAATACATTTATACTAATATATTATTCTCTTTAGTATTGCCATCAATTTCATTAAAAATTTTAATTTTTATAATATTCCACTAAAAACTTAAATGTATAATCTAGAATATCTACTTACTTTTAAATAAAATTCCTGTGTTTCTTTAAAACAGTAATGATATTGTCTTTATTTTGATTACGTTTATATATTTCTATCATTTATCTCTCTCTAATAGTAAAACTATACCTAGTTATGGGCCCAGACCACAATCTAATTAGTTGATACAGTCTGTTACCTAATTAAGTACACAGGTAACAGAGTACAAGCTCGGCTACAAGTTAATTAATTGAATTCGTACTTTCCAGGAAATGTGTATACTGTATTATATTAAATTCAATATTGTACTTGGTAAAATAAATAACAATATTTTGCGAATAAACATTACTCTTACCGCCCTTAGACGACTGGCAGACGAATCTATCGACAGATTCGTTATCGCTACCGAGTCGTTGAGATAGAATGAGATGGTGACATGCGCTGCCTTACTCTTTATTATTCGATCGCTAACTGCTTGTATAATCGCTAATTATCTACACTAAAATTATTACAATCCCCAATAGTAGTTATAACAGTTAATACTATGGTTAAATCCAATGCAATATTTATACACAGTTAGCAATAAAATTCTGTACTAACTAGGGGTCGGTAATATACACTAATATCTATGTATTTTAGTTGCAATATCTATGTACGTCTCCAACAACGAATATGTTAGATATCTGTTATTCTATACCTAATGTAGAAATTAAGAATCCGATCGAAATTATTATAGAAATGTCATCCATTCATTCGGTCATCAATGTCCAAAAGAACCCAATATACCAGAGGGAGACTTTATACAAAAGTCGATCGCTTGGGTACCTCTGTGCCATTCGTGTTTCAACCGTGAAGCAGCTGTGTTTGGCTGTGTTTCGGTTTGAAGGGTAGGATATGGCGTGAATTTACAGGGTACAGAGGAATAACATCTGAGTCCTCAGGAATGGCAACGCATGGGAGGTATCATGGGCGAAACAGTATACTCTGTTATGTACTGCTCATGTCTATATATATAGGCGACGGTTACCACTTTCCATCAGGTGGGCCGTCAGCTTGTTTGCCATTCTAAGTTGTATAAAAAAAATACCCTGTAAGCGAAAGTTTGGTAAAACTAAAACAGTAAATTCCGATTTTGATTCTGAATTGAAAACCAGTCAAAATTCTTTCCGGAAAATATCAAATTTTTTTTCATTTAAAATCATGTAATCTGATGATATTATGTCATAAAGAAATAATAACATTTTATAGTGAAATACTATGAAATAGTAAAAAACAGTAATGTATTCGTATTAAAATTCTACTGCGACGCGTGGAATCAGCTGTTTGAGGTCAAAGCCACAAGCGTACGAAAAGTACCTTTGAAGAAGCGCGGCATCTTATTCAGACCATTCATCTGATACAGGTGTTTTCGTTTTGGCCAATCTGTTCCTTTCGGGGGTGGGGGGAAGGGATTGTTAGCAACAGAGTTTGACAGCCCCATTGCTAGCAATATGCCTTATTAGGTCGACCTCCACGTGGTTCCCCCTGGAAACCATCGTGAACAATTCTTGTTGAACTCGTCACGACAGGCTGACTGACCTGTTTCATTCTCACCTAACATCCTTCACTGGTGCCTCGCTAGTGTATACCGATAGCGCGGGTGGGGTTACCATTCCATTATTATCCATTAAAAAAAAACCTGTTCCTTTCACCCTGTATAGATATTGGAGCGGTATCAATACCCATGCCTAATTCTAACAAAAAATTACCTATCATTTGACACTTGTCTAAGTGGGTAATACTTAATACGGTAACAAACTGTCGAAACCACCAAAAATTTTTTTACATAATGTTTATATTATGATATAAGAGATGTCACTGGACATCTCTCTGTGACTTCATGAACCTTATCAATGCTTCGGTATGTGTGTAGCGCAACTGGTGGTGCGGACAGCAGACCAGCATCCACCGGCGGGACCCCGACCGAGGACCAGCCTGCTGGCGTTGGCAATGGTAAGGACATTTGTATGTACCGCTTTGTTGAACTCATAACTAGGCTATTAGATTCGCCTAATATTATTAGGCGAATTAGGAAAAAGAGTTAACAAACTGGACGGTAGATGAAATGGTGCTGTCTCCCCTATCTGATACTGATCTGCTGTTGGAAGCAGTCTGGATAACTCTTCGATCTTAAACAGGTACTAACTCTAGGAGTTTTAATACCTTTGTATGGAGAAGTGAACTCGAGTTGTTTTTTTTTCCCGCCCTCGATCATATTATTGCTACTTAGTATGTACTTTAGTTAAATATTTATTATAAAATTTTTTTGTTGTTATTATTGTCGGATTTGTGCAAAATTGTATTTTAAAATCTACTAAGTCAATTTGAAAAATTTTACAAATATGTATATAAAATATGTAGCTTGATGAACCAAATTTCCTCTTAAATATGTTTTTTAAGGATTTACATAGTCGAATCGGTTCCTTTCATTTCCTTAGCTTTTTTTTTCTTTTACCTAGTCCTTTATTTTCTCTTTATTATGTGTTTGTTATATGCTTGCTAGATATTATTTTTTTATTTTTCCCCAAATTCCAGGTCATCAGAGTAGAATATTCTCAGTAGACGCTATTGAGGTTCCGGATATGCAAGAACGTTAGTATTTTTGTTTTTATTTTTTCTTCTTTTCTAATATTTTGTTTTTTTTTTCTATTATTTCCCAATTACTTATTTTTTTAAATCTTTGCTTGTGTCCTGGAAGGTATCTATCTACTTTGTTTAAATCATCATCATCAGGATAAAATCTAAATCATTAGCATCCTTTGAAAGCGGTTTTCTACCAGCGAAATGGAATATTTTTATTAAAAAATAACAAAAAAAAAATACAAGAGATGTTGAGTCTCTCATAGTAACACGGCGTGTTGTTAAATTTGTATGGAACACTCAAAATATTTGACGTTTTTGAATGTTCGATTCCCGAAATTTTTATCTTATTATGTCCTATAGTATATGTACAATAGACGCTATATGGTTCCGGCATAGAATGGGCCACCCCTTCCTTTCCCGTGGGTCTTATAAGAGGCGACTAAGGAAATTTAATGGTCGAGAAATGAGCAGTAGTCTCTCTTTAAAAATCACCAAGCCTAACTGCGATTGCCAACTTACCTGCTAAGCGTGGCAACTACTGGCAAAACTGCTCTTTTGGGGAAGATCAATGTTCAGCAGTGGACAGTTAACGGCTGATATAGTATATGATGTAATATGTGTAGATTCTTAGTTTAACCTCCTGCTAACGATTTTGATTTCACCCTGTATAAAGAACCTAATCTCATTTTAAGAGCTTAACCAGTCAAGTCTTTTAAGCAACAGACACTCATTCATACATGTGTTGTGGGTTATATCTAAAATTATTTGTTATGGTGGTTGATCACTAAACAAGTTTGGACACGAAATACTAGATGGCGCTGGAATCGAAACTTGTGATTTTTGTTGATTATTTTGTAAGTAAATATAATTTGAGGTAAAATTTTCAAATTGGCGAATGGTGTTACTTATTTTTTACCGATATAGTAATAGTTTATTATAACTTTTGTCATTATTCTCTTGTATTGTACAACTTTGTAAAAAAATACATACTAGCCTGAGACAGCGTTTATGTAAATTATAATTCATTCAGGAAAATATTGCGTATTATTTGGCACTTCACATTCGTACATAATAATACAGATCACTCACGAATTTAGAAATTTTACTTCAAATTAATTTTAATTACAAAATAATCAACAAAAACCATAAGTCTCGATTGCAGCGCCATCTAGTATTTCTTGTCTAATTTTGTTTAATGACTTATCAATTTAAATGCGAATAAGTTTGTGACAACCCTACCAACTTATATAAGGGAAGCAGGCTACATTTAACAGCATTGCCGCATGTACAAAGGAAAGTATACGAGTACTTCTCCTGCCCAAGTTTGTCTATCCTTACGTTTATATATGGTATTGTTACAGTGACCACGAAAGCTGTGGCCGGCGCCAAGTCGCTGGGCAACTTCCTATACTCGGCGGTGAACAAGGCCGGCGCCAAGGTCAGCGAGGCGAGCGCCAAGATCAAGAAGACCGTCGAGGAGAACGTGAGTACATTCTTGAACTTAGCTCTTGTAAATCCGGTTGTCTTCACTCAATATAACTTATCCGTTCTATAGAGAAGCAATGGAATGTATTGATTAAGTTACAGCCTCAATGGTCGCGTACTGCGCGGTTTCAGAGATGTTTCCTCCCACGAACACTCAGGTTGTGGAATGAGTTCCCTGCCGAGATTTTCCCAAGAGACTACAGTATGGGATTCTTCAAAAGGGGGGTAAAGAGGTTTCTTCAGGGTCGGCAACGCACGCGTAATACCTCTAGTATTGCAGGTGTTCATAGGCTACGGTAACCACTTACCATCAGGTGGGCCGTATGCTTGTTTGCCACCTCAGTGGTATAAAAAAAAAGTTTTACTATTAGGGCACCCTTATTTACCCTTAAAATCTCTCATACGAGTACTTTAGCTTATCGAAGTGTGATGAAGTCGCAATTATCTGTTGGTTTCCAAAAACATTTTTTTTATAACCTTGTATTCATAAAAAAAAGACAATTTAAATGTGCTTGTAAACAAGTCTATTGAATAAAGAAGATTAGAATTTACTACTATGGTGGCAGATAAGCATATGAACCGAATGATCGTTAACGGGGTTACCGTAGCCTATGGCCGTTTGCCCTATGGATATCACGTGTGCGGTACCGAAATTGAACAATTTTTATTATTTCTGATTTATTATTTCAAAAACTGGTTTTGTAATGAACAAATAATGAGGTAAACGAATTGATGTGGAGCAAACATGGCGATAGACCAGGTAGCATAGTGACGTCTGCGACTCAAATAGGACGTCAGTTTTAAATCGTTTTAGAGTCAGTGATTGAAAATATGATGAGTAACTCCTACCCAGGAAACATTATAGATTTTAAAAATCTAAAACAGATTCAGAATTAACAATGTACTGCGTGATAAATATATAAAAACAATTCAGACGAATGGAAAACCGAAAAAATCGGGTGTCGCTTGAACATTAATTAAATATCGTACCCAAAAATATCAGTCCCGATATATCCCCGACCCGTCACGTTTCGCGGCGTGACCCACGATTATGATGTTCTATAATTTATGTCTAATGTATTCCTGGCACGGTAAATGGATTAAACCGCTTTGAACTGTTATGAATGAAAAGGATTAGAGCGGGTATTGCTATAGATTTAGGCCAGAGCCGTAAAAGAGGGCGCGCGACGGTGTTCGCGCGAAACAAAACCGATTATTCATCGTCACTCACGATATAATCCTGTTGAAAACGAATAAATATCAATTTTCTCTTTTCCCCTTACACAAAAATAAATAATACAAGTATATTTTCGTAAACAGACCGAGTAGATTTTCATAAATATACTGAAGAAATGTCGTGACAAATCATATTAATGAACTTTGAAATGTTTAGAAGACATTAGAAAAAAATATTTTTTTGGATTTCAAACCTGTAATCGTGTTTACAACTATATTTTGCATTGCATCAAGCTGTATCTTTGAAACTTTGCTTTCCGAAGTGTTCAAAGTCGCAATTATTTGACAATAAAAAAAACAAATAAATTTTTTCAATGTTTCTAAATGATTATTTAAAAAGTGCTCTGCTAGTGAATATGATGGGCATCTCTCAATCCGTATCAAATAGCGAGGCCAAGATGCCTAAATAAATGCATCTCTAACTTAAAAAAAAGATGGTTACCACTTACCATCAGTTGGACCGTCTGCTTGTTAACCATTTCGTCATAATAAAAGATATTCAGCCAATTTGTTTTTCCTGCCAAATCAATTGCAAAGTTTCAATCAGGACCAGACCAAAGCGTAAAACCCTATTTCTTTTAATAATACAAGGATACCAATCATCCGAGGCACTTTAGGACTACGGTCACGTACCGATACTCTGGTAAAGCTGCGACCATAAAATGTAACGATCAAACATACCCCGGGCAATTCGACTAATGATGTATACTTTGACGCGTCCGTTTCATTAGCGCCATTGTGAGGGCTAATGGAAGTATATAAAATGTAACTTTATACAGTATATAGTACATTTACCTTTAACCTATACAGTTTTATTGAGGACAGTGCAGTGAGAGTATCTCGTATCGAAGGGTGCTTCACAGTTTCCTAATTCGCTCGCTTAACAATGTACGAAACAATTAAATTTAATTGCTGGACACTTTCTAAATAATTTATTACCATTCTGTGAAACTCGACAAGTTTATAAGTCAATATATGCAAGTCCGGATACTTTTTTTTACTTGACAATAATGAAATGGTAACCACGCCTACGCTATCGGTATACACTGCCTGGGTACCAGTGAGGGATGATAGGTGCGGATGAAACAGGTCAATTAGCCCATAGTGAAAAATCAACAGTTCCCCTTGAAAACCATCGTGATTGATTTATCATCATGGTTTCCAGGGAGAATCGAGAGCAGGTCGACCTGATAGGGTTTTTTTGTTAGCAATAAGGCTGCTAATCCCCATTACTAACAATCCGTTTTACCCCCTAGTCCAGGTATTGACTTTTGACACCATTGAATGGAATCAATGCCAGTGGAAGAGGAAGTGTTTTGCTAGCTCTGTTCTTCTCAACGGAACATGCAAAAAGTTCCTACGACGTGCTTAAGCATAATTAAAAGGCACTCGAATGGATATCGATGCCAGGATGTTATGATTATATTTATGATTTCGAATAGCAAACAAGTAGAAGAAGAAAAATATTTTTTGCCCTTAATTACATGTAGAAAACATAGGCGTTAAGATGTAAATCAAAAGACAGGATTATTTTAACAAAATGTAAAAATACGGCCATTTAAATAGTTACTAAATTATTATGGGTTTAATATAGAAGTAAACAATATTGCTTGTAAAACGAATTATTAAATCGGTTTTGCATTGGCGAGGATATCGAGTAACATATGGAAAAAAATTATGAGCAAATTTAGAACTTCAGTTTATTTGAAGTCGTAAAAAGCAAATCCGAGAGAAACTTTGTGAAATTAAATGCAGACATGATTATTTAATATAAAAGTTCTCCTTAATTTAGAAAGTTTTTAAGGAACCTGAGAGATGAATCTGATAGGGGCTTGAAATGTAAAAGCTGGCTTATATCCATTGCTATAGTAACCCCACTTCTCAATTCTACAATGACGTGCCTGGCTTATTTCTGACTGAGTGCCAGATAACGGAATGTTTCTATTTACCAAATGTGAGATTGCTTTTGTTTTAATTTCAACATATTTTACTTATAGAATTCATCATCATCTTCTTGCCCTTATCCCAATTATTTGGGATCAGCTTAATATGTTTTTTATCCATATTACCCAAGGTATTGGCTTTTAGTTTTACAAGTGTCTAAGAAAAGGGAGGGAGGATTTGAGAGTGAGTAAAGAGTGAGTGAGGAATTCGGTAGAAAAAGAATGAAGGGATACTGCAGTTTCGAAGAGTTGCAGTTTTGTTTACTGATAAAATTAATTGGCGTTATATAAGCAATACCGACTAAGTACAACCAGAATGGGGTATTGGGTTTTGTTAGTAACGGACACTAGTAGACTCATTGCTTGCAATATATGTACCTTGTTGGGTCAACCTCCACGCCCACTCCTCTAGTAACTATCGTAGTTAATTCCTTGTGAATTCATCACGAAGAAATTGACCTAATTTCATCCTCATCTATTTATTATTGGTATCACCAACTCAGGTGGGGTTGCCATTTCATTATGATCCAAAAAATCTAAATAATAAGCCTCACGTTCTAGAAACATGAAATCCTACGTATTAAAATGGCTGCAGTAATCTGACTACTCACACCTGCAGTGGCATGTCTGGCTTATTTCTGGCTGAGTGCCAGATAACGGGACATTTTCAATTTACCAAATGGAATATTGCTTTTGCATTTTGCAGAGCTGAAATATTTTTTTTTTTTTAAATCACATGTGCTTCGTTTTTCGAATTCAATGAAACCAGGTATGTTATAAGTTAAAAGCCTTTGTGTATATACTCGTAGATGTATCTTAGATCCCAAACATTTGCTGAAGAGGGCGCCACCCCTTACTCCAGTAGTGTATTACATAGAATAAGTATCTTTTTTTGTTTTTGGTTCTTATCTGTTTGGTGCAATTTTTGTTTTTTTTTTTTTTTTTTTTTATGGAAATAAAGTAATTAATTTTTAAGCAACATCCAAAAGAAATAAAGATTCTCAATTCGTTTGAATTTTTTTAATATTTTTTGCAATTATGTTACTAATTCTGAACAGATTTTTACAATTCTATGTTGCAATTAATAGGGTTTACTCTTGTGTCCCCGTGTGCTCCCGGTATAGAATGGACCACCCCATCTTTTCCCTTGGGTGTCGTACGAAGCGACTAAGGGAATTTAATAGTAGAGGGATGGGCAGCAGCGTCCCTCTTAAAACATCTCTAAATCCTAACTGAAGTTGCCAACCCACCTTTGAAGCGTGACAACTACTGGCAAAACCCCTGAACAGGGGAGGCCAACGTTCAGCACACTTGTGTTGACCTCATATTAATTATATAACTATTGGAATCCAAGCTTTTTTTTTTGAAAAGCAAAAAAAATTAATTAAAATAATAAATAACAAGTGCCGTACAATCACTATAATTGTAGATTACATTCACGTTCTCCAAGATTAGAGGCTCAGTATGGAATAAGATCGTTTCGGATAACTACACTGAAAATTTATCAGGGGGCCCCATTGTTCACGAAGTCCCCTTGGCAACGGGCAATTATCTCTTGTAACTAGGAAACCCGTTGAAACTCGCATCTTCTGTATGTGTACGTTCCGAATTGTATCCGGAATATTGCGTTCATTTTAGAACCAAAAATGTGATACCTAGATTAAGTAGAGCTAATAGGTAGGAAGTTTTTTTCTTAATGTAAATGGATTAGTAACTCTGCTTCTGAGTTGCACTGGTATACTAGTGAAGGATGATAGGTAACAATGAAGTTAAGTCAGTTGGGACATCGTGGTGAATTCACCAGGAATTAATCACGATG